GTTACTGAAGATCAGACGGCCAGAAAGAATAAGAAACAAGGAACTCTGGCTGGCTGGCTGACAACGAACCAACTGAGAACCTATCGCCAAACAAATATGCAGAAGAAGAAATTAGAGATGGATTGGGCATACACTGAGGAGACCAATCTGGGACATCACGCGTCAGACCAGTTGCTTGAATGGAACCCAGATGGGAAACGAGGAGTTGGGCGTCCGAGCAGAGGGTGACATGGAGGAGATGATGTGAGGAAGAAATAAGAGCTTATGGGCAGTTGTGGAGCCAGGTTCAAAAGATTTCAGAGAAGAGAGTGGAATGGAGACGTGCTACTGAAGCCCTATGTTCCACTAGGAACCTAAGGGACAAATAATAATAATATAGGAGGTTGTCTGCTAACAGAGGTAGAATAGTTCAACCGTATATAGCAATGGGATAATACAAGTATTAATAAAGTACTGGATACATGGAATGTATAAATGATTCAAACTTTATCTATTAGGGTGGTGAGATCAAGACGGAACTTCAATGCATAACATTCCTAACTATTAGTGTGAACCGTGTTAAAGTGGTGTAGACTACCTGACTAGAATCGTAGAGATAATAGTCGAAGCGGGTTCGAACCTCTGACCCATTAGTTGAAAATCGTCTTCCTAAACCAATAAGCCTCAACTGTACACCTTCTAGTTCCCAAAACTTATTATCCTCAATGATTCCTAAACCATATACAAATTAGGTTTCAATGGGTATACAAACGTCCACTTTTGAAAAGTTTATTAAAATATCCAACCAATCATAGAAATGTTCAGAATATATCAGCTTCTTTTCTAATCAGTGTAATGAGATGTAAGTGACTAGTGGTTTGCGTGTGTATTGGGGGTGGGTGGGTGTATATCTGCATCTATCTCCTGGATTGTCAACTTGAGTGCTGATCGAGTTGTGAGGGCGTTCGACCCTTCCCGGCTGCCCACACCGTGGAAGGTTATTTCTTCTTGAGGTACCTGAAAGAGATTTGTGTGACCGAAGAGCCCATCGGATATCTGTTTGAGGCCTGTCACACGTAGCCTTTTGTGTATGATTATTTTGAACTTTTGTATTTTTGGGACCAGATGGTCGAAAAGAAACGACAAATGAATCAACGCCGCCGGCCCGGCAGACCGTGGGTATGGTTAAGTCGACCTTTTCTAACCCGAACCCCTTCCACTGAGAAGGCAGCATCAGCATGGCACTGATAGTCATCCAAGGAAAACACCTTACTGCTGTCACACCCCATCCAGCTATCAGCAGTACGACTTCGCTTCAAACTTCCATCATGGTGTAGTAATCTACACCGAAACGGTAACTGCTTTTCGTCTAACCAATATTCAACAGACCTTTCTGGTATGATAGGACCTCGAGGGAACAAGTGTTCCACCAGCATAGCTCATTGGGTCATTGTGAGATGCAAGCCTGATCACCACGTCAAGGTAGCAGCTATCAGTTGGGTTGGATTGTCAACTGTTATATCAGACATTTAAAACAAGTTGCGTTTACTTCAACAGTCCGTAATCAGATGATATCAGTTCACCTGTTCAATATGTATATAATAAACAGTAGGTTAAAATCCATTCATCCATCCAACTCAACACAGGACCAGGTATTACTGAGTAATGGTCAAACTTGCCGCCACACTTCATCTCATATCAGTACATTAAGTAAAAAGGAAGTCAAGTGGAAGATGAGGAGAAGAAAATTCACTCAGAAGAAATACAAAAGTACGAAAAGAGAGAAAGGAAGAATGAGAAAATGGTGAGATTCAGTATAGCGTCGTTAACATGATGATAATGTGTGTGGCGATACATCTGCGCCCACCTCCACTGACATCGGTTCTCAACCATATCACCTAGAGTCAGTCTCCAAACACTCACTAATGGTTTCTCTTGTCCCACGAACAGACTCCAACCACCTAGCCTGCATTGCTCCATATGGCTCAAACCAACACTCAAACATTTCATACATTCATGCCATGTTTTAGTTTGACCGTCCTTAAATCAAGCAAAAAGAACACAATCGTCAGTAATTAACAGAAATATTTGAAAAATTCAATCTATCTATCAGATGTTCATGATTTCGTTTGATGTGTATACTACCGGCACTACATATCAATATCCACATCTGTTTCCTTGTTTACCAGATTATGAATTCTAACTGTTTTTATTTATATGTACAAACTAAATGTGTAATTTTAATTCAGTTGAATCTATGTAATCGTTACAGCGAACCTTCGCTAACATTTTAATGAGTGATAATGAGCATAACACGTCATACTTTTGAGAAGACCCATAGATACATTCATCAGAAATACACCACATGCAGGTTACATTTAACTATCAACAGCTTACTTTCAATTAAATTACAAATGAAAAGTGTCTAATGAAGACACTTATCAACCATACACGTAAACTATGCTCTCAGGAAAAAGGTCAGAAGGAGAACACAAATAGGGATGGTTATTATTCATATTTCTTAACAGAAATAAAATAAATTGGATCTTCAATGTTTACAGGAATCGTTCCATATTTACTTGATACTGATACTAATATGTCAAAATCCTTCAAAGTGATCGATAAAAAACTCAGAGTCAAACTTCTGTGCTTCTTTGAAGTAGTGACAATTGAAAGACTAAAACCTGATCTATGTATTCAGAAAGGGAGTAACTCCTGAGGTAACAAGAATGGTGGTAGGGTGCTCAGTCATGTTAACGAAAATGTTAACCAGTATATGGGAATCAAATACTATCCCCTCTGACTGGTCTAAATCACTGATTATCTCAGTCTTCAAGAAAGCCATGAAGTCCTCTTGTGATAGCCACAGAGGAATCAACCTGACGAACATGGTACCTAGAATCCTAGGTTCTACAATTCTTCGACACATGAGTGGAGCTCGGAAACAGCAAGCCTGACAAAACCAAGCAGGCTTTAGAGCCAGCTGCGGGTGTATCGACCAAATATTCACACTACATCAGGTTTTGAAACACAGATACCCTTACCGACACCCGACACTAGTTGTATTTCTCGATCTGAAGGCGGCATTCGACTCCGTTGATCGAGAAGTCTTATGACAATATCTCTCACTGAAAGGCGTACCGAGTAAGTACATCGCGCTATTGAAGGCTCTCTACTGGAACACTTGTGGGGGTGTTAAAGCGTATGATGAGATGTCCAGGGGGCTATGCTCATCGAGTGATGTCTGTCAAGGCTGCCCATTCTCTCCATTCTTATTCAATTTTATCATATATATTCTTACGAAAGTCTCCCTCTCGTCACCTGATTATACAGAGGTTGAACTAATCACAGGAGAATTTTCGTTAGACCTAGAATATACAGGTGACATAGTCCTGTTAGGTGAAGACGCTGACAAGATGCTGTCTTCTGAACACTTTGAGTGGCAAATTGAGTATGTTTGGGATGAATTTCTCACCACCCAAATGCAAATTGTTACTCCAGGATTGGTCATCAATGGTGACCCATCGTGGTTAACAATAGAGAGTGTAGTGGTTGAGTGTGTTGATCACTTCACTTACCTGGGAAGTGAGATCAGACCTGGTGCAATGGTCAGTGGCCGATGAAATCTCTGCACGGATACAAAAGGCTCGGCTGCCTTTCACCAACTTACGCTATCTATAGCCCCACCGTAATATCCGAATGTCTATTAAAGGTCACGTGTACTGCACCATAGTTCATTCTGTTCTACTGTATGCCTGTAGAACATGGCGATTGAAGATGGAGGACATGAGAAGGTTTCAAGTGTTTGACCACCGTTGCCTTCGTAGTATACGCCGTATTCCACGGTGTCACCACTTGAGTAACGCAGACGTCAGGTGTAGAGTTTTAGGAAGTAGAAGTAAGTTGACACGGTTGTGAACTTTCATCGACTGAGATGGTTGACTCTGACTTGTTTTACGCATACATAGTCACCGATTGCCTGGTTACAGAATGTTTGCCGAATTAGGTTCCGACTGGAAAAGGGCTTGAGATAACCAGACCAAAACATGGCATGAATGTATGAAATGTTTGAGTGTTGGTTTGAGCCATGTGGAGCAATGCAGACTAGGTGGTTGGAGTCTGTTCGTGGGACAAGAGAAACCATTAATGAGTGTTTGGAGACTGACTCTAGGTGATATGGTTGAGAACCGATGTCAGTGGGGGGGGGGGGGGTGGGCGCAGATGTATCGCCACACACATTATTATCATGTTAACGACGCTATACTGAATCTCACCATTTTCTCATTTTTCCTTTCTCCATTTTCGTACTTTGTATTTCTTTCGATTCAATTTTCTTATCTTCATCTTGCGCCTCACTGCCTAGGATTAGGATGAGTACTAATTTCACTTAAAGATTTCACCAAACGTAGTGAAACATCCAGAACAGAATATTAAAGCTTAGAGAACATTAACCTGTCATTAAATAATCGTTTTGTATAAATGGATAATATGTATCTAATACTTTGTTTTATTGTATTTTGAGGGAGTTGTGGGGATCTGTAAATATTTCAAGTTGTTATTCATCTCAAAATCCAGTTAAACTAATGCTCATTGGTGACTAGTTCCGAGAGGTATTCCCGAAGTTCCAATGAGAATTCGTGACCGATTGGGGCAAAGCATGATGGTCATGAGAACAGTTACTCAACGATGAAATTGAGGAGCGGTTGCGCTATATCATGAGTCAACACAAGTTGGAAATATGGATGATTGGATTCTCACCCAGTGGCTAGCTCAATGGTAACGTGTTGGCCATGGAACCTGAAGATCGCGGGTTCGATCCCTGGTAATGTGGGGTCATGGGTGCGCACTGCTGAGGAGTCCCATACTAGTCGGATGAAACAGGTGTCCAGTGCTCTCAGGTTCTCATTGTTCCTCCAAATGATGTCAATCTACGATAAATAACAACTCGAAATATTTTGTTTTAGTTAATTAATTCAATAATATATACGCAATATCTTTATATGCTAATTTATTGTTTTCAGCGTTGGCCAGCTGTTCAAGTACATGGTGTTATACTTCTAATTGATCTATCTGGCTTCTCATGGAGACATGCTGTACATTTAATGTCACCATGGTTTATACAACGTTCTGTACATTTTCTACAAGGTTCAAGCCCTATACGCGTTAAAGCTGTACATGTTTACAATAGTCCATATATGTTTTCTAAAGTTTATTCAGCTATGAAACCTCTATTGAAACCGAAAAATCAAGCACGTGTAAGTTCACTTATATATTCCACTTTATTCATCTACATAAATATATGCAGAAAAACATTGTCGTGTGACTGAAAAGGACACTTTATTAGACTAAAATACATCAATTACATAAAGTTTTCATTTAAAAAAGACGAAACCTTTCGGTCAAAAGTTAAATAGCTTTTTTTGATTGGCCAACTGTTGGATAAGATTGTCCAATCATGTTTTTCTTGACCACACAGTAGGATGAAACATAAAAACTTTCACTTCAGTAGTAGATAACTTAAAATGTTGATATTCATTCAGTCTACTTTCTATCAAATGGATGAGTAGGTTGATTGCTATTTCATTTTTGTTAAAAAATTTACTGATGTGTTACCCAGTCGATAGGCTATTATCCTCACATTAAGTTTGAGCTTGCATTTACTATTTGAGACCACACCATATGAGAAAGACTTATTGGTCAAGTGGTCAAATAGAAAGTAGTCACTGTCGTGGTATGAGTTACCAGGCTACAGTGTAAGTTACAAAAGAGAAGGTGTATTGCTTTCTGTATCATCATCATCATCATCATCATCTAGATCAACATAGGACCAGGCATTACTGCGTAGCGGTCCGAGTTGCCACACTTCATATTAGTACATCAAGTTTAAGATGAAAAGAAGAAAATCCAGTCAGAAGAAATACAAAGTACGAAAAGAGAGAAAGGAAGAATGAGAAAATGGTGAAATTAAGTATATTGGTTCAGATGAGGATAATATGAGTGTAGATACATCTGCACCACTGACTTCGGTTCTGAGCCATGCCATCACCTAGAGTCTCCAACCACTCACTACTAGTTTCTCTTGTCCCACGAACAGAGGCCAACCACCAAGTCTGCATGGCTCCACATGACTCAAACCAATAGTCAAAGACCTCATACATGGATGCCATGTTTTAGACTGGTTACCATCGATTTCACGCTATTACCAAATCATTGACTATTGAGACTTCGATTAAGATCAGACATCAGTCACTTTTGTTTCAAGCCAGACATTCTATATAGCTTAATTGAACGCTGAGCTTAAGACTATACCTATTGATAGTCCCATGTCTTCCAAAGAAATTCCACGCTGTTCATTGTTTGCAAGCCTTCGGACTAGATAGAAGAAGTGGAAGGCTAGTCAGTGTATGACATGGTGCCGTGCGATGAACGATAGTCGTTTTCAGGTTGGCATTTGTTGATTCTTCATTACTCCTATGGTGGAGTGTGTGAGATGACCCAACTGAATGGCTTGAAATGTTATCAGATATGTTACCAGAATGGAAACCAATAGCGGTCATGCTCTTGTTTCCTTCTATCTTTTACTCAAAAGTAATGAACGTTTTGTTTTAAATGTATATGTTAATAGAAATGACTACCCTTCTAATCATTCTCTTCTCTTCGCTCTATGATAATAACGAATTATTGATGAGTAGTCGGTAACAGTGGAGTCCAGGACACACGTTTCGTTCTATTTAGGACTCCTTAGCTAGATATATCTGCCTGCCAATGGATTGCATGCAACGCATACTGTTAACCATCAGACTATATGCATCATGCTTAGTGTGAACGATAGACCCAATGAAGTGTATTTGTGTTTATGAAAGAAGAACAAGTATGTTTTTCAATGAAGAGTCCCTTTCCTCAGCGATTTAATTTTCCAAGCTGTACAATGTCAAATTTATACATTTTTTTCTTTCTAATGTAACGATTTGATAGTTGTAAACAGTATTTCAAGCATGACAGACAACATATATAATGTGAATCATGTGAACTATTGGACAATAAGTTACATGATATGATGACGATATATAACTGGGAAGTGAATTGTGATCAGATAGAGAATATGATGGCGAAAGAGTAGGAAATTACTTAAGAAGTGAATAGTGTGAAAACAGAAGAATGGAAAGAAAGAAAATGGGAGGAAGTGGGTGAAAGAGACTGAAAAGTAAGACGATGGGAGGAGAAGTGGTTGAACAATCATCTTCTTTTTCGTATATATTTCAGCTTTCTGCACATGGATGACAAGAGGTTTGTTGATGCAGGGAATACGAAGATGTAGAGCCTTCAGGAGGTTTTTTTTTTCTCACTTTATAGATGATTTTGAAGGAGTAGGTTGTTCAGATATGGTATTCAATTGTAACACTCCTTATTACTCCATTGTGAGACAGATTGATACTTTCCAAGCGGCTACATCGTGTTAGTTTACTTTATCTTTTGGTACCTGAAAAAGAAATTTGTTTATTTACAGTAGTAATTGACCACCAAGCCTATAGAATATCCGCTTCAAAGTTTGAGACCTGCGTCTGATTGATTTACATCCATATAGAAAATCCAAAACCCCAGAACTGGAAGACCGCAGGGCAGAGGAGTGTCATGTGTTTTTTTTTGAGCCGACCATAACCCCATCCTCTGTCCCTTTGGTTAGGGAAGGTAGCATGGTGCTAATATTCATCTGCAGGTCACACTTCTCATTGATGTATCACTCCATCCAAGCAGCTGTACGATTTCACCTCATCAAGATCAATATAAGACTAGGCGTTACTGTGTTACAATCCAAGTTCCCAGTCTTACTTCATATCACCAGGTCAAGTAATAAAATGGAAGATGAAGAAGGAAGGAAAAGTCGGTCAGAAGAAGGGAAAAGTGATGAATGAGATGATGAGAATAAATACAGTGGTTAAGATGAAAATAATGTGTGTACGCATCTGAACCACTGACATCGATTCTAAGCCATATCACCAAGGGTCTCCAATCAATGGTTTCTCTGTCCCGTAGACACCAACTTGTCTTCATCGCTCAAACCAACAGTCGAGAACTTCATGCTATGTTTTAGTCTGTCCGCCCCGAATCTTTTTCCAGCCTGAACCTACTTCGGCCAACATTGATCGACGAAGCATACAGTGGTTAGCCATACATAACACATGTCCCAACCATTTCGGTCGATGAAGGTTCACAACGGCATCAACCGTCTTACCTCTCCTCCCTAAAACTCTACGCCTGACTTCTGCGTTACTCATGTGGTGACACTACGACACACTGCTTATGTTATGAGGGTATCGGTGGTCAAACATCAGAATCTTTTTGATGTCTTCCACCTTCAATGACCATGTTTCACAACCATAGAGTAAAACAAAACGGCCTGTAGCACAGTACACTCTACCCTTAAGAGATAATTGGATATCGCATCGGTGTCTCAGATGGCGTAATTTGTCAAAAGCCAAACGAACCTCTTTTATCCATGTAGAGATTTCGTCGGCCAATGATGCTGGTTAAATGAAGTGTTCAGTGCGCCTAACCATTTCACTCTCTTGATTTCGCCTCACGGATCCTCTTCGTACGATATTGATTTACACTTTATCAGTTATTGGTTGTCAAATGAATAGAACAGCGTAGAACTTGACATAAATATGTATCATTTCAGGTCTCCATAAAACACAACAGCATCTAAGGAGAGTGTGAATAAGAAGTGAATAAAATATGAATGAGAGGATGGATGATAAAAAGTACATTTGCTCTACTATGACTAATTTCATGGCATATCACACTAACAGTCTTCAATCATTGATTTCAATTATCTTAAGGTTGTCAACCAAACAGTCTACATCTTCTATAGCTCATACTAACAGTCAAATACCGTACCACACTCTTCGCTTTATTATTATGATATTTTTATTTGTCCCTTGGGTTCCTAGTGGAACATAGAGATTCAGTACCACGCCTCCATTCCACTCTCTTCTCTGCAATCTTTTCAACCTGACTCCACGACTGCCCACAAGCTTTCATTTATTCCTCACATGGTCTCCTGTATATCACCCTCAACTGTGACGCCCAACTCCTCGTTTCCCATTTGAATTCCACTCGACGGCCTGACCTCGCATGTGATGTCCCCAATCTGTCTTCTCACTGTTTACCCAATCCATTTCCACCTTCTTCTACTGCATATTTGTTGGGTGATAGGTTCTTGGTTGGTTTGTTCTCAGAGTGAGTTCTTTGTTGCTTATTCTTATTGTTCTGGCCATCTGATCTTCAGTATCGAGCCAGCGTAAGCGGCAGCTGTTGATGAATGTCTGTAGTTTGTTGGAAATACTTTTATTGACTCGCCAAGTTTCTGAACCATATAGCAGCACTGACTTGATTAAGTGTTGAAAATCCGGATGTTGTTCAGGCCTTGTTCTGAGTGGAGTACAGTAGATCTCCACACTGATTTCAGATTAATGAAGGCCTGTCTTGCTATTTTTCTCATCCTGGCATTGATATCCTCATCTGTGCCGCCACCGCCGCCTGTAGTTGAAACGATGCTGTCTAGATAGATGAAGTAGGCTACTTCCTTAAAGTTTCTCCCGTTGATGGTGGTTGGAGGTTGTTGTTGATCCTGTTGTTGGCTGAGTATCTTCATCACCTCTGTCTTGTTTATGTTCACTTGAAGTCCCGTCTTCTCTGCCTGGCCTCTCCTGTCAACTTGTTAGTTTCCACCTGTAGATCTTCAAGTTTGTATGACATTAGATACAAGTCATCGACATATAGCAATATTTACTGATAATTTGAACTCGTAAATATGTTTTTATTTGTCTACAGTTTTCTTCATTATCAATGCCTTGTTATATGAGATTATAATATTTTTTTTTAATGTAGATTATCATGCATAATAATTCATTGGAAAGTCTTCACACAGCTATTCCTCCTCATTTACTTCCGTGTAACAGTGATTTGGGTGGTACAGGTCCTCCAGTTCCTTCATGTGTACGTCTATCATAATATTCATTTGATTGAAGTATTGAATATAATTTTACTTTCATCTCCTTCTCTATATAACTTTTATTGTCTACAGAGATGATGTTTCTTGGTGACTATAACAGTGAAGTCCTGTATGTACATTTTATTCTACTTGAAACTCATCAACTGAACAAACTTGTTGTATCCCAGTGGATGGTATTGTTCTCAACTTAAAAATTCATAAAGCCTTCTGATTTTCATACTTATTATTAAGTTAGAAGGATTTTAGAAGTTTAGTATTTAACATTCAACCAATAGGCTATGGATTCATATTTCACTCCATCTACCAAGTTCTGAGTATCCAAATAGTGTCAATAACTCTAATATGAAAATAGTTGTGGCTTATTATCAACTGCACAAATATGTATAAAACGGTTTTCCTAGGTAAGTTATATATTAAAACGGATCAGATGAACATCAGAAAGGAACATCTCAGTTATACTGGTGTATATTTCCCTAAACTGTTTCACTTTGAATACGTTAGACAGCATAGTGTTTATATAAAGGCTAAAGAATTTCTTTTTTCATTCAGTATATTTAGGTAATAGATTATTGTGATGTTACATACTAGGTGAAATCAGTAGTTGAAAACTTCTTAATTACTTGCAAGTCACAGTTACACCTATGACCTGATGATGTTTTGACAGACAACCAGTATGATAATGCTTCATACACCTGCCTACACATTATATGTCTTGATTTGCTGAGATAGTGCTCACTAAATGTATTGACCCAAAATGTTATTGAAGGCTCTAACTTTTAGACTATCAGCTTGGTAATTATGTTTGCTGTAAAGGAATCCAGGTTTTTCATACAATTCTCTGTATTCAATCAGCAATTGAATCATTTTTTTTTCCCTTGGGTTCCTAATGGAACATAGAGATTCAGTACCACGCCTCCATTCCACTCTCTTCTCTGCAGTCTTTTCAACCTGACTCCACGACTGCTCAGTAGCTTTCATTTCTTCCTCACATTTACTCATCCATGTCACCCTCGCCACGAGCGCCCAACTCATCGTTTCCCCTTTGGCTTCCACTCTAGTACCTGGCGCGTGATGTCCCCAGTCAGCCTTCTCAATGCATGCCCAATCCATCTCCACCTTCTTCTACTGCATATTTGTTGGGTGATAGGTTCTTGGTTGGTTTGTTCTCAGAGTGAGTTCCTTGTTGCTTATTCTTATTGTTCTGGCCATCTAATCTTCAGTATCGAGCCAGCGTAAGCGGCAGCTGTTGATGAATGTCTGTAGTTTGTTGGAAGTGCTTAGCGTAACGCACCGCCAAGTTTCTGAACCATATAGCAGCACTGACTTGATTAAGTGTTAAAAATCCTGATGTTGCTCACGCTTTGTGCTGAGTGCAGTAGATTATTGAAAGCCTGCCTTGCTGTCTTTCCCATCCTGGCTTTGACATCCTCATCTGTGCTGCCACCGCCGCCTGTAGTTGAAACGATGCTTCCTAGGAGCGTAGGTAGGTGAAAGAGGTTACTTCTTTTATGTTAATCCCGTTGATGGTGATTAGTGCTTGTTGTTGATATTGTTGTTCGTTGGGTATCTTCATCACTTCCGTCTTCTCTACGTTCACTTGAAGTCCCATCTTCGCTGCCTCACCTCTTCTGTCAACTTGTTGGATTTTGCCTGTAGATCTTCAAGTTTGTATGACATTAGACGCAAGTCATCGGCGAAATCCAAATCTTCTTCTGGGCTCTTCTCACCGCTCCAGCCAGTTCATGTCCATCTTTTCGCTCCTCACGGTTTGTTGCATGATCCAGTCGATCACAATCAGAAAGATCATCGGTGATAGTAGACAGCCTTGTTTTTCTCCTGTCTTCACTCCAAAGGCATCACTGAGCTTTCCATTGTGGATCACTTGGCATGAGGCGTCTTCACATAGTTGTTGAATGAGGTTGATAAAGGTTTGTGTCACTGAAACCGTAGTGTTGAAGCAGCTGCCTGTCAAATTACTTGTCGGTCTACGCTGTCGAAAGCCTTTTCAAAGTCGATGAAGTTGAGGTAGATATTTGACTGTCATTCTATACTGTGTTCTATAATGATGCGTGGCGTTGTGAATTGCTAGGTTCCATGTTCCCATCCTTACTTTCGCTTTCGTCGACAGAAGACACATCAGTCGACTGGTTTCCCGAAGGCTTTACCAACCGGCATCATTTCGTACCTCCGATTCCAGTGAAGAATAAGTTTGTTTTCATTTTTTATAGTTTCTTTGTCCTTTGAAGTTTCTTTAGTGGTTGGATTGGTTGTTAGCCCTATGCTCAACCTTCCCTCTTTATCCGTGCTTAGGACCAGCAAGTAACTAGTGAACTAGTTAACCAGTTAGCAATCATCTCGTGCCCCAATGACCTAATAAATAACGCTCTGGTGTATAGAGTGATGACGACTGCGTTCGACTCTCCTCAATAGGAACAACAACATCACTCATTAGGTTACAGATACATGTAACTAACGAGTCCCACTGGTGCTCACCAATTAGAGCACAATGTAATATATATATATATATATATATATATATATATATATATATATATATCGAATATTTCTGTTTTTTATCATCTATATCTTGGCATCCTGTCGGCTATCAGATTTGAAAGAAGAACAACTAAATTTTCAGTGAAGAGTCTCTTTCCGGCGATTTCATTCTCAAAGGCCTACAATCCCGAATTCATACCTTTTTTCCGTGGAAGGCTTTAATACTTAAAAAGGTTTGTCAAGCATAGCATGGCAGATAACACAAATAGTGTCAATCATGTGAGGTTGTTCATTGTTTGCAAGCCTTCGGACTAGATAGAAGAAGTGGAAGGCTAGTCAGTGTATGACATGGTGCCGTGCGATGAACGATAGTCGTTTCAGGTTGGCATTTGTTGATTCTTCATTACTCCTATGGTGGAGTGTGTGAGATGACCCAACTGAATGGCTTGAAATGTTATCAGATATGTTACCAGAATGGAAACCAATAGCGGTCATGCTCTTGTTTCCTTCTATCTTTTACTCAAAAGTAATGAACGTTTTGTTTTAAATGTATATGTTGATAGAAATGACTACCCTTCTAATCATTCTCTTCTCTTCGCTCTATGATAATAACGAATTATTGATGAGTAGTCGGTAACAGTGGAGTCCAGGACACACGTCTCGTTCTGTTTAGGACTCCTTAGCTAGATATATCTGCCTGCCAATGGATTGCATGCAACGCATACTGTTAACCATCAGACTATATGCATCATGCTTAGTGTGAACGATAGACCCAATGAAGTGTATTTGTGTTTATGAAAGAAGAACAAGTATGTTTTTCAATGAAGAGTCCCTTTCCTCAGCGATTTAATTTTCCAAGCTGTACAATGTCAAATTTATACATTTTTTTCTTTCTAATGTAACGATTTGATAGTTGTAAACAGTATTTCAAGCATGACAGACAACATATATAATGTGAATCATGTGAACTATTGGACAATAAGTTACATGATATGATGACGATATATAACTGGGAAGTGAATTGTGATCAGATAGAGAATATGATGGCGAAAGAGTAGGAAATTACTTAAGAAGTGAATAGTGTGAAAACAGAAGAATGGAAAGAAAGAAAATGGGAGGAAGTGGGTGAAAGAAACTGAAAAGTAAGACGATGGAAGGAGAAGTGGTTGAACAATCATCTTCTTTTTCGTACATATTTCAGCTTTCTGCACATGGATGACAAGAGGTTTGTTGATGCAGGGAATACGAAGATGTAGAGCCTTCAGGAGGTTTTTTTTTCTCACTTTATAGATGATTTTGAAGGAGTAGGTTGTTCAGATATGGTATTGAATTATAGCACTGTTATCCAAAAGGGTTCAAGAACACTATCCTGTGTGGTTACAAAGAGGTAACAATGGAGCGATAAGGAGCTCTATCCTATCTCAAGAACCTTGTCTTTCAGTGTGGTCTGTAAAGTGAAAACAAACCTCCTGAAGGCTGTATGTCTTCGTATTCTCTACATCATCGAAGCTCTTGCCATCCAAATGGAGAAACCTGAACTATGTACGCAAAAGAAGTGTGTGTTCAACCCCTTCTCCTCTACCCCCTACCCGTTTGTTTTCACTTTTCTGTTTTCACACTATTCACTTCTAAAGTAATTTCCTACTGTTTCAACTTGAGATAGTCTGCCTGATCACAATTCACTTTCCAATTATATATCGTCATCATGTCACGAAACGTCTTCTTGTCCAATAGCTCACATGATTGACACTATTTGTATTGTCTGTTATGCTTGACAAATTATTTGTACAACTTTGAAAATGAAATTTCAAGTTGTTATTCATCGTAGACAGACATCATTTGGAGGAACAATGGGAACCTGGGAGCATTGGACAACTGTTCCGTCCGACTAGTATAGAACTCCTCAGCAGTGCGCAGCCATGACCCCACCCTACCAGGGCTCGAACTCGCGATCTTCAGGTTCCATGACCAACACGTTACCATTGAGCTAACCACTGGGTAAGAATCCAATCATCCATATTTCCAACTTGTGTTACCTCATGATATAGTGCAACGGCTTCTCAATGTCATCGTTGAGTAACTGTTCTCATGACCATCAGGCTTCGCTGAGAAAAGAGATCCTTCACTGAAAAGATACATGTTCTTCTTCGTCTTCTTTTATATCTCAATGGATTATTAGATTGTTAAAGTAATACAACATGTTTTTCTTTTTTTAACCTGTAGGAGTATATTGATGGCCTTTTAGAATTAGATAATTATTTTCGACAAATGAATAAATATCCATTTCATGTAAACATATCTTGAATCGATTTATCAACTTCTATCCAATGTGTATCAACAATTTCATATCCCCTTCTTCTTTTCATAACATATACACCATGAAGATATTGATAAGTGGTTGAATTCCAGTTTATTTCTCAGTTTGTATTTATCAATATGTAATTAATTATTTCCTTTCATATATATATTGTATAGATAATATATACACCTATCTATCTACCTTTTATTCAATGTCCATTTTGTGAACTTCTGTTTTGTATGTATTTTATGTCTTTCATATTTTACTGGTCATTAAATCGTATTCATTTTTTTAGTTAGTTTGTTCATATATTTTCTTATTGTAGCCTTTTTCTTTCGAATGTAGTATATTCTTGAAAACTTGGTCAAACCAATAAAACACTTTATGATGATGATGATCATGATCATGATGGAAAGTGGCTGGCAGTGGAATTAAAGATGTGTATTTCATTCTGTTTGTGACCAACTGCCTTTCACAGTGAGTGATTATTCCGTTCTAAGTTCGATCGTTATCCACTGAGTCACGATTACCACCTGCTACATGAATAGTATAACTTTTATGTTGTTCTTGTTGTTTGTATTACTTCATTGTTGATTGGATCGAATGATTCGGTCTTGGGGATCAAGTTTTACTTATAAAAAAAAAAAAACAGCAGTCACTAGGGTGTAAATACGTTCAATGGATGAGTCCTAAATAAAGCTTAACATGCATCATGGATTCCATTGTTAACCACTATCCATCATTACCATAAAATTGAAAAGATCGTCGGTATCAATACGGGAGATAAAATTAACGTTGAACGTTGCATACAAATAACGATAAGGGTTGGTGCGAATATTGAAACTTTAGAAAATGTCAAAGAGTGAATGCAACTGAGTCACAGTAATCAATTTTCAGCCATTTCACCGAGTCCTTAATCACTTATTCCTATCTTCTTGGAGATCCCAGCCAGACAGTCTAAGCGACCTAGACCAACGGTCAGGGACTTCATCGACTGATGATACATCTTGATCTGGCCACCCTGAACCGTCTTTCAACACAGTCCAACTTTCCTTAGTATGACACGTCGACGAAGGTTCACAACCTTATCAACTGACTTGCTGACCTTCCTTGTCTAGTATCCTTCGTCTGACCTCTACACTGCCAACACGGTGATTTCATCAAACGCGAGCATTTAAAAGCCTGTAACCGCTTTGTTTTCTACTTTCAATGAATATGTCTCGGTTGAAGGGAGTGCAGCACAGTTTACTCCTCCTTTGATAGATAGTGGAATATCTCTTCAGTCAACCGCACACGTGAGCCAAGTTGACAAGTATCAAACGGGCCTTCTAGATTTATGCATGAGCTTATAGAGACTGATCAGTTCGATTCAGTCAACGATGAGATAACACAAGCAGCAATATAAAAACAAAATTTGTTGTTTTATATCTTTTAAGTTGTTATTCATCGTAGATTGACATCAGTTGGAGGAACAATGGGAACCTGGGAGCACTGGACAGCTGTTTCATCCTACTAGTATAAGACTCCTCAATAGTGCGCACCCACGACCCCAACCCACCAGGGATCGAACCCGCGATCTTCAGGTTACATGGCCAACACGTTACCATTGAGCTAGCCACTGGGTAAGAATCCAATCATCCATATTTCCAACTTGTGTTAACTCATGATGTAGTGCAACCGCCACTCAATTTCATCGTTGAGTAACTGTTCTCACGATCATCAGGCTTTGACTACTAACTTAAATAAAGTAGTATTTGGACAACATTTCTATTCACACTTTATCATACATACTTCGCTAGTTAGTCAGCGTACACTACATTTCACCTTGATGTTAGTAAGTGTTTTTGTGAAGTGATGATACCATACTGAAAGTAGATTATACCTTCCTGTATTCACACCACATTTTGTAGTTTACTTCTTACATCTTCTTAATGAACCATTGTCATACTTAGAATGTGTATTACGTAGTCGAGTTATTATTCAAACACAGTTCACATTTTGATAATGATTGTTGAGTCATCTAACCTCATCTGGTTAACTAGTTACTAGCCGGTCCTAAGCCCGGATAAAAAGGGAAGGTTGGGCATACAGCTACCAAACCTACGCCGTAAAACCAATCAAATCTCTAAAGAAACTTCAAAGCACAAAGAAATTATTCCTCACTGGAATCGAAGGGACGGAATGATGCCGGTTGGTGAAAGACTTCAGGAAGCCAGTCGGCCGATATGTCTCCTCTCCCTCGATGAAAGCGAAAGTAAGAATGGAAACATGGAATGTCCGCACCATGTATGAACCTAGCAAGGCTGCTCAGATTACCATGGAGATGAAATAATAAAATCATAGAGTTGATGATGTTATTTGTACTACCAATACTAAGATGCCACAGAAAAAATAATAATCACCTCTTTAGTCATATGATTCTTTATATATTGTTTTAGTTCATCATATCACATGATAACAAACACTCCTAGAATTAAAAAGAATGCATACTTTTCAGTATATAGAATGAAACCATTATTACTGAACTGAGTACCAGTTTAATTATTTAATTTGTTACGTATTATTTACAAAAGAAATATTATTTTTTTCCCCTTGGGTTTCTAGAGCGAACATAGGGATTCAGTAGCACGCCTCCATTCCACTCTTTTCAACCTTGCTACACCACTGCCCACAACATTTCATTTTTTACTCACACCGTCTACTCCATGTCACCCTTGCAACAGACTCCCAACTTGTCGTTTCTTATTTGGCTTTCATTCGACGGCCTGACCTGGCGCGTGATTTCCCCAAACCTTCTCAGTCTATGTCCAATCCGTCTCCACCTTCCTTCTCTGCATATTTGTTGGGTGATGCGTTCTCGATTGGTTTATTTCTCAGAGTTCTTTGTTGCTTATTCTTATAATTCTGAGTTTGTGCGACAAGACATGAATCATCATCATCGGTGAAATCCAAATCTTCTTCTGTGGTATTTTCATCGATCCAGTCAGCATATTCTCATCTCGCTTCTCACAGTTTGTTGCATGATCCAGTTCAGTCTATTCGACCACAATCACGAAGATCATCCGTGATGGATAGTAAACAACCTATGTGATGATACGCGTTTCTCTAAGTCAAGCAGATTTGGATTGCGATGAGAAATCCTCACTCGATGAATTTGCTAATTTCCTGCTTGCAAAGACCATTGTATAGATAGTCAGGCAAATTAAAGAATGTACGATTAAAAAGAACTGAATCTGGTGACCTTACCTTACTTAATATAGATTGTAAAAGATCAGGAATAGTCTTACCCCCAGGACAATGTTGGGGATTGTTTCTGCTCGTTATGTGAATACTCACACTAACAGTATGAGAACACATTAGGCAGTGCCTGCTAATTTGGATACAAGGTCGGACGGACTACACTGAGAAGCTTTCTGTGTACCTGAGTAACATTCCATAACTTCATGTAAGTCTTGTAAAAGGAATTATTGCAACAACCTCTACTTTTGCATTTAAGGTGAAGTACTACTTCTCTGTGGAAGCTGAGTTAGTCGCCAACCAATCACGTGATACGTTAACTTGATTGCTGTTGATGGTGCGCAAAAAGGCGATCTATCATCTGTGACATAGGAGCGAATGGTGGCTGGAATAATGCCTCCCTCCTAACTATTCAATTTACGTATTTGAGGAAGGAAGAAAGTATTATATCTGATTCACAGGATCCATCTTGGCAAAATAATCTTTTCGAATTACATATATGAAGCAACATTGGACAGACATTTTGTTCTCAGAGTTTTGATATATTAGATCTCGGACATTTCAGTCTATCGATTGAGCTGATCCGTCTAAAGAGGCGTTTTGCTTAAGCAAATTTCCATAGGTGAGGCTACCGCGATATCCGATTGTCTGTCTATTAAGGGTTGAGTGTACTGTACTGCAGTCCACTCTGTTCTACTCTGTGGTTGCGAAACATGACCGTTAAGGGTAGAAGACATGAGGAGGCTTCAGGTCTACCCAGCGTTACTTTCATAGCATAAGCCGTGTTTGGTGATGTCCACATATGAGTAACACAGAAGTCAGAAGTAGAGTTTAGAGGAGGAGAGGTGAGACGGTTTATGCCATTTTGAACCTTCATTGACCCAAATGGCTAGGACATGTGTTATGTATGGCTAAACACTGCCTTCCTCGTCAATCAATATTGGCAAAAGTAGGTTCGGGCTGGAAAAAGGCTCAGCGAGACTAGAGGCATCAATGCATGAAGTCGTTAACTGTTGGCTTAAGCGATGTACGGTGATACAGACTAGCTGACTGGGGTCCCTGAGAGACTCGGTGACATGGCTTAGAATCGATGTCACTGGTGCAGATGCTTATGCATATTATCCTCATGTTAACAGTTGTACTTATTTTCTTCATCTCATTTATTGCTTTCCCCTTCTTCTGATCGACTCTTCTTTCCTTCCTTATCTTCAAATTTATTGCCTTGTCACTTAATTTGCTGATATGAGATGTGGCAACTTAGATCGTTATTCAGTAATTGCCTGGTCCTATGTTGACCTTAATGGCTAATGATGAAACTATAAAATGATTTCTTGACCAAACCACTACTGACAGTCAGTTACAGGTGAGTTTCCTAGGATGATCTCGACAAAGTTTGCTAACATGTTTAACTTATCTTATGGAACAAATTGAATAGGCAGTAAACAAATGACTGAAACAATCCACTTAGATTAACATAAAAACCTCACAACTTGTTATAATCTATACTGATCAAATTGATTACAATTTGCAGCAGAATATCAAAGACGAGACAACAGATATATGCCTGTATTGCTTGGAAAGAACGATCTACTCTAACCATCTTACAATAAAATAAATTTCACCGTAGTGCCATATCAATTCCCTTTAGTGGATCAAATACTTCGATCAGTATCGAATAAGCCCAAAAGACTAGACAACTAATTAAATTTTCCTCCTATGGTCAATTTATCTTCATGATCCAGTTCTATAAAAGATTAGTCGTGGCCTGAATAGCACAATGGTTAATTGTCTGACTTCCCCATTAAGTGATCCAAGCTGGAATCACTGAGAGAATAACACATTCCTCATATTTGTAGACACACCCCACTGACTATTAAAATTATTATTATTTGTCTCTTGGGTTCCTAGTGGAACATAGAGATTCAGTAGCACATGTCCATTCCACTCTCTTCTCTGAAATCTTTTGAACCTGGCTACACAACTGCACAGAAGCTCTTATTTCTTCCTAACATGATCTCTTTCATGTCACCCTTGCCTTGGAAGCCCAACTGGTCGTTTCCCATCTAGGTTCCACTCGAGGGCCTGGTGGGTGATATCCCTGAATGGTCTTCTCAGTGCATGTTCAATCTATCTATCTCCATTTCCTTCTACATATTTGTTGAGCAATAGCCTTTTGGTTGGTTGGTTTGTTGCCTGACCACAGTTCCTTGTTGTTTATTCTTTCTGGCAATCCATCTGATCTTCACTAACTAGCCAGCATAGGTGGCAGTTGTTGATGAATACCTGTAGTTTGTTGGAAATGCTTTTTATAACGCGCCAAGTTTCTTAACCATATAGAAGCACTGACTTGATATTAGTGTTAAATACCCCACTGATGAGTGCCGGTAAGTACAAAACTCACGTCATCCAGGGTTTTCTACCTACTGACTGGCTTCTAACACCAAATTTCTACTAATTATACACACAGAATGTTGTAAACAGATATCAAAGCAAAGCTACAAAATTTTCACAGACTATTAAGAATATTCTCTATCAAGATTGTTAAAAAAAAATGTTTTTCTGATTCATTTAATCACATGAAATTTGTTTATTTTCAGTAAATATCTGATAAACATTGAAAGCTCTATTGATTTGTTAAGTAAATAAAATCATGATAGAAAAAAATGATTTTCTGTATGGTTTTTTAGCTTATGCACAAGAAGTAATCAGAATTATTCTTATTATTAGTCCCTCGGGTTCCTAATGGAACATAGGGCTTCAGTAGCACGTCTCCAATACACTCCCTTCTCTGAAATCTTTTGAACCTGGCTCCACGACAGCCTACACGCTCTCATTTCCTTCTCATACAATCTCCTCCATGTCTCCCTCAGCTGCGATGCCAAACTCGTCGCTTCCCATGGGGATTCCACTCGAGCAACTGGCCTGACGCATGATGATGTGCGTCTTCATATAGTTGTTGAATGAGGCTGATTAAGATTTGCGGTATTACGTAGTATTGAAGCAGTTTCCAAATTACCTCTCGTTTGACGTTGTCAAAGGCCTTCTCAAAGTCGATAAAGTTGAGGTAGAGTTGAGTTGACTGCCATTCTACACTCTGTTCTATGATGATGCGAAGCGAATTGATCGGTCGGACGTTCCGACTTCCCACCACACCTCATATCAGTGCATCAAGTAGAAAGGTAGTAAGGTGAAAGATGAAGATAAGGAAATGCAGTCAAAAAAAATATAAAGTACGAGATGAAAGAAAAGAGGAGTGACAAAATGGTGAGGTTCGGTATGGTGTCGTTAAGATAAGGATAATGTGTGTATACATCTGCGCCACTGACTTCGGTTCTGAGCCATATCACCTAGGGTCTCCAACCACTGGTTCCTCTTGTCCCGCGAACAGACCCCAACCACATAGTCTGAATCGTCCTACATGGCTTAAACCAACAGTCACAGACTTCATACATTAGTGCCATGTTTTAGTCTAGCCACCTCGAACCTTTTCCCAGCCTGGACCCACCTCAGCCAACATTGTGTGACGAGGCGATCGGTGACTAGGCATACGTAGTACGTGTCAGAGCCAACCATCTCAGTCGATGAAGGTTCACAACCTCCTCAACTGACTTACCTCTTCTCCCCAAAACTCTACACCTGACTTCTGCATTACTCACATGGTGATACCACGGAATACGTCAAGTGTTCAAGTGTTAGTATAGGCTACGAAGGCAACGGTGGTCAAACACTTGAAGCCTTCTTATATCTTCCGCCTTCAATGGCCATGTTTCACAGCCATACAGTAGAACAGAGCTGACTGCTGTGCAGTACACGCGACCCTTAGTAGGCAATCGGATATCACGGAGACGCCATAGATAGCGTAAGTTGGTGAAAGGCAGCCGAACCTCTTGTATCCGTGAAGAGATTTCATCGGCCACTGAGCCATCAGGGTTGATCCTAATTCCCAGGTAAGTGAAGTGGTCAACACACTCAACCACTTCACTGTCTATGGTTAGCCGTTGCACCGCTGAAGACCAGTCCTGGAGCAAACATTTGCCTTTGGGTGGTGAAAATCGCATCCCAAACATTCTGAAATTCCCACTCAAAGTGTTCAGATAACTCTGCATCTTGTCAGGGTGTTCACCTAACAGGACTATATCATCTACATATTCTAGATCTAACGGAAATTCACTTGTGATTAGGTCAACGTCTGTGTAATTAGGTGACCAGAGGGAAACCTCCATAAGTATACCCAACATAATATGACTTCATTCAGTATGGCATATTGAGGTAGGCGGTGAGTTGGCATGCACTGTATGTATCCAAGCCATCTCAGTTGTCTAAGTTTCTCAACCTCATCAATCGACTTGCCTTTCTTGCCCAGTACCCTTCACTTAACCTCAACTTTGCTCACATGATGATTCCACAACACGCGAGCAATCCTATGAAGACAATTGTGATCAAAATTCTATGGTGGCTTCATTTCTTCTACTCTTAACAGTCATATAACAGGACAGAAGTGACTGACTGCAGCCTGGCATACTCGTTCTCTGATACTTAGTTACATACCTCACCAGTTAACACCAAATGCCAAATGGATCTTCTGTATACGAGCTGAGTTTTTGTCAGCAATCAGCCCGTTTGGATTGATGCAAGTGAAGTGGTATACACATTCGCACACTTCACTCCCTATCATTAAACTGAGAGTGATTGCAGTCATCCAGTCCTGTAGTATCATCTTACATTTGACAGGCACCAGTGAAACGCATAGGAAACGTACTCAGATTTCCGGTCAACACATTCATAACAACTTGCATTGCGTCAGCTTCTTCACTTGACCGGGCAATATCGTCTGCATACCTCAAGTCAATCAGATGATATCCAAGGAGTAGGGAAATCCCTGTGAAGTCACAAGTACCTAAGGTTGTATCCACTAAAGCGTCTATAACGAAGTTAAATAGAAACGGTGAAAGTGGGCCTCCCTGTCGAAAATACTAAATACCTTCACAACATTTTGTTCAAATATCAATGTAAGTTATGTGACTAAAAGCGATTTTTATTTTGAAGATGTGATAGGTATTCATCAATTACATACTATTGAAGCAGGTCAACTAGGGCAACTGTGACTCTAAACTATAAGGAGAAGTTTCAATGTTCAATATTGAAGCATATTAACCATCTTCAACATTGAACATTGAAAGCTAATGCATATTTAGCGACTGTCTATTGAGAATGAAAACATGTCTGCTTTTTTCATAGAGGAAAAGACATAGTGAGAGATTATTTGTTAAATCTCTGTCACAGTGATAGCTCATAGAAGTTATTGATTTGATGGTGATAAATTCAAGTTGACTTTTATCACTGATAAACAAAAATAAATAAATAAATAAATAGTGGTCAACACAATAACAATAATGATGACAACACCTACATTATTCAAAACAACATAGAGAAATTTTTTTAGGAAAAAAAAAACGGAAATCATGACTGAAGAAACAATTAAGGAAAGAAGAATCATAAACATTCAAGTCAGAGGAATGTTAACTACTGAAAATCAATGAAATGAGTAGTAATAGTAGTATATATAATTTTTTTTATTTTAAAATATACTAAAGGATTATTATTAAAATAAAATGAAGTTATACTACTTCTACTTTAGAATATAATTGGTTCACGTATAAAACTAACTGGTATCATAGGGCATGGAAGTGAAGTTATCGATGGTGAATGTTCAAGACGTCTACGTATATTCTGTATTTCTTCATAAATTTGTAAAGATTCACGTTTCTTTTGAGTATCATAACATAATTGAGTAATCTGTTCTTCTAATTTGTGCAATATACTTCTGAATAATTAGTAAATATGCATAAATATAGAGTCATAAGGGAAACAATTAATTAGGAGTTATTTCTAACTGCATAATGAAGTAGAAAGACTTGGACTTAAGTTCCATATTTCTTGGTACTTATCTATGCCCTTGAAATGAAATGATATCCCATCAGTAATACAAACTTACGTCATATAGTAGTAATGCAGCAAAACATTTTATCATTTAGCCGCTCTTTTGATGATAGTTAACGTCGCCTGGTTAACTAGTTTACTAGTTACTAGCCGGTCCTAAGCCCAGGTATACAGGGAAGGTTGGGCATAGGGCTAGCAACCCTACCCCGTAAAACAAATCTAACCGCTAAAGAAACTTCAAAGCACAAACAAAATATAAAAATCAAAGCAAAATTATTCCTCGCTGGAATCGGAGAGGCGAAATCATGCCAGTTGGTGAAAGCCTTCGGGAAGGCAATTGGTCAACGTGAAGTCAGTGCTTCTGTATGGTTCAGAGACTTGGCGCGTTACGAAAGGGATTTCCATCAAACTACAGATATTCATCAACAACTGCCTACACTGGCTCGCTACTGAAGACCAGATGGATTGCCAGAAAGAATAAGCAACAAGGAGCTCTGTGAACGAACCAACCAAGAAGCTATCACCCAACAAATATGCAGTGGAAGGAATTGGAGATGGGTTGGGCATACACTGAGAAGGTCGACTGGGGATATCATGCGTCAGGCCAGTTGCTCGGGTGGAATCCCCATGGGAAGCGACGAGTTTGGCGTCCCAGTTGAGGGTGACATAGGGGAGATTGTATGAGGAGGAATTGAGAGCCTGTGGGCTGTTGTGGAACCAGGTTCAAAAGATTTCAGAGAAGGGAGTGTACTGGAGAAGTGCTACTGAAGCCCTATGTTCCACTAGGAACCCAAGGGACTAATAATAATAATAATAATAATAATTTGATAATAGTTAGTGGAGAACTCAAAGGGAAGTTTGTCATCTTATTTGCATCCTGATGACCAGTGATATCTCGACTTACACTCTTACTTTAAATTCACTCCTTCGAAGATATTGCCTGAGATAATTAGAATTCGGTAAACTGACGTTATTGATACTGTATTATGAATGAAAGTGAAATAAAAGCCTGACATTCATTAGGACTTGAATCACTGACTTCATGGTCAACCAACTGAGTTCAGTCAACAAGGATTTTACCCAGGAAGTATATTAATCTATGATATGCAGCTATCTACACTGTCAAGTCTTCTAGTTAACCTAAGTTGTTAAATTGGCAGTCTGAAAGTCAATGAAATCACATAGATTCCACTTATTATTATATATTATTATTTGTCCATTGGGTTCCTAGTGGAAAATAGGGATTCAGTAACAAGTCACCATTTAACTCTCTTCTCCCCACTCTTTCCAACCTCGCTCCACTACTGCCTACAACCTTTCATTTCTCCCTCACATGATCTCCTTCATGTCATCCTTGCCTCGGACGCCCAACTCGTTGTTTCCCATTCCCCTTCCACTCGACGGCCTGACCTGGCACATGATGTCCCTCTTCTCAATGCATGTCCAATCCATCTCCACTTTCTCCCACTGCATATTTCTTGGGCGATGGGTTCTCCGTTGGTTCGTTTTCAGAGTCCCTTGTTGCTTATTCTTATTACTCTGGCCATCTAATCTTCAGTATCGAGCGTAGGCAGCTGTTGATGAATGTCTGTAGTTTGTTGGAAGTGATTTTTCTGACGCGCCAAGTCTCTCAACCATCACATAGAAGAACAGACTTGACTGGCATTAGTAGTGTTGAAAACCCGGATGTTGTTCGCGTTTTATGCTCAGTGCAGTGTACTAAGTCTGAACACTGATTTCAGATTAATGAAGAAAGGCCTGTCTTGCTGTCTTTCTGATCCTGGCTTTGACGTCCTCGTCTGTAGTTGAAACGATGCTGCCTAGATAGGTGAAATACGCTACTTCCTTTAAGTTTCTCCCGTTGATGGTGGTTGGAGCTTGTTGTTGGTTGAGTATCTTCATCACCTCTGTCTTCTCTACGTTCACTTGGAGTTCCGTCTTCTTAGCCCTGCCTCTTCTGTCAACTTGTTGGTTTTTGCCTGTAGATCTTCGAGTTTGTGTGACAAGATATCAGACATAAATCATCATCATCGGCGAAATCCAAATCTTCTTCTGGGGTCTTTTCATCGGTCAGAAAGCGTACGCCTCTCTTCTCGCTCCTCACGGTTTGCTGCATAATCCAGTCTAGTCTATCACGATCAGGAAGATGATCGGTGACAGTAGGCGACAACCTTGTCTTACTCCTGTCCTCTGTCTTTACTTCAAAGGCATCGGTGGCCTGTGCTTTCCATTGTGAATCACTTGGCATGTGGCGTCGTCATATAGCTGTTGAATGAGATTCATAAAGGTTTGTGGTATTCCGTAGTGTTGAAGCAAATGCCAAACTACTTGTCGGTCAGCGCTATCGGAGGCCTTTTCAAAGTTATTGAAGTTGAAGTAAAAGATTCCACTTAACGGACTCAATTGTATGCAACTGTGGAGCAGTTTAGAAGATCTGCTTTTTAGTCTATAACCTGTTGTAGGCTAATAGTTATCTTGCTAACGCTAAGTTGAGCACTAAAGTGTTGAAAATGACTACACTCAACCGAACGTATACATGTCTAAATAGAAATACTTTGTCAGCTTTTATGGGGAGAAGGTTTCATCAGTAAAAAATAGGTTCATAGCATGCATAAACTTTAATCAGCTGATATCATTAGACGTACTAATCAGTTTATAATGTGTGTTGATTAATAGTGGTTAGCCATGAAACCCAGGACATAACTTTCTTCCCATTTGAGACTTGTCAACTGAATACACTTTTTTTCTAGTGAGTAATGAGATTCCCAGTAAAATCTGAACTTATCACTTCAAACATTTTCATTGGATTACTGCGAAGTGACATCTACCTCGATTTATTTTTACTTGTAATGCTCTTTTGGTTATAAAGAGTGAACCGTATAGGTCCTTTTCTGTTGATAATTTGAGTCTTCAAAAAATGCCTAGATGTTATGTTCTAATTAATTATGATACAATATGCCTATAATATAACTAGCAGTTATTCACTAGCTCATCAAACTTATCTAAATACCATTCAATATCATTATACTGTAAAAAAAAATCTCAGCAATGAACACATCTAGTTTTACAAGTATTGTGCTGAACCTTGAACAAGTTCAATTACTATTAGGTATTCAAATGATCCTGATATAACTGACAATATCTTCAAATTTATTGAATGAAAAGTTCTTTACTGATTTCTAATTGCATTTAGTTAGTTGGAACCGAAGAGATTGAAAAGTAACTAGCTATGAGGCATATCTACCATCTCAAAGGAATTTATATCAAATAGTTGATAGGATTCTATCAGCACTTATAAATAAACACAACAAGATATTGGGTTAGTCTTTAGTCAATTCAACTCCAATAATTTCCAACTTAGAAATAAAAGAAGACTGGTTACCTTCATGAATGATATATGTGTGTTGAGAAGAAGTTAATCGTTTAAAAACTTCATCTTTGATTTGTCTAAATTCTGCCTTTCATATTTACTCACTGGAAGATAACAAAGTATTATATGTATATATCTAATTGTATGATAATCACTCAGTGGACAGAAAACATCAACAAGTTCTTGGTTGTATTGTGTTCTTTGAGCTGGGTTGTCTAATCATGGAGAAGATTTCATCATCTTTGTAGACAGTGACATCATCAGCATTAACTTCAGTATGAAGTGAGCTGTTATTATCTCTTCGTTAGTGATTCAATGACTTGCCCTGACAAACTGGTTTGTCATTGGTTATTTTCCAATGATTAATATATCATTGACTGACTGCATAGATTTTCCTGTTGACTGTTCCTCTGTTTCACCTCTAACTTTCCAGTCGTTTATCATTTTTCTGATTGGTAGATGGATAATAAAAATGATAAACAACAGGAAGGTCAGAGGTCAAACAGAAGAAGAGTCAACAGGAAAATCTATACAGTCAGTCAATGACATAATAAACAAATTGGAGATATTATTCTTCATGACTGTCTAAAGGAGAACATAAAGTCATAAACAGCTCGTCTCTTGAGCATTTATTTTTCTCTGGTCACTGCATTAGTATTATATTTACTTTTCCCTTGGGTTCCTTTTGGAACATACGGCCCCAGTAGCACGTCTCCATTCCACTCTCTTCTCTGCAGTCTTGCAAACCTGACGCTACGACTACCCACAACCGTTCATTTCTTACTCTTACCATCTCCTCCATGTCACTCCCAGCTGGAACGCCCAACTCTTCTTTTCCCATTCCGCTTCCACTCGACGGCCTGACTTGGCACATGATGTCCCTCTTCTCAATGCATGTCCAATCCATCTCCACTTTCTTCCACTGCATATTTGTTGCGTGTTAGGTTGTTGGTTGGTTCGTTGCCCGACCACAGTTCCTTCTTGCTTATTCTTATTGTTCTGGTCATGTGATCTTCAGTATCGAGTGAGTGTAGGTGTCAGCTGTTGATGAATGTCTGTAGTTTGTTGGAAATGCTTTTTGTCACGCGCAAAGTTTCTGAACCATACAGCAGCACTGACTTGACTGGGTTAAGTGTTGAAAATCCAGATGTTGTGGTGAGTGCAGTAGGTCTCCGTCGCCGTAGCCGACCGTAGTTGAAAGGATGCTGCCTAGAAATGTAGGTAGGTGAAAGAGACTACTTCCTTTAGATTTCTGTCACTGTTGGTGATTGGTGCTTCTTTTTGATGCTGTTATTTGCTGGATATCTTCATCACCTCCGTCTTCTCTACTTTCACTTGAAGTCCGTTTTTTCTGCCTCATCTCTTCTGTCAACTTGTTAGTTTTTGCCTGTAGATCTTCGAGTTTGTGTGACAAGACATCAGACATAAATCATCATCATCGGCGAAATCCAAATCTTCTTCTGGGGTCTTTTCATAGGTCCAGCCAGCGTATACCCATCTTGTCGCTCTTCACAGTTTACTGCATGATCCCGTCGACCACAATGATGAAGATCATCGGTGATGGATAGTAAACAACCTTGTCTTACTCGTGTCTTCACTTCGCCTCAAAGGCATCACTGAGCTTTCCACTGTGAATCACTTGGTATGTGGCAACTCATATAGCTGTTGAATGAGGTTGATGAGGGTTTGTGGCACTAAAACTATAGTGTTGAAGCAACTGCCAAACTACTTGTCGGTCAACGCTATCGAAGGCCTTTTCAAAGTCGGTGAAGTTGAGGTAGGTATTTGACTGTCATTCTATACTTTGTTCTGTGGTGATGCATAGCGTAGGGTTGCAATTTGATCCCGACATGATTTGTTCTTCCTGAAACCAGCCTGTTCCGGTCGTAGTTTTGAATCCAGTGCATCCTTTAGACTCTCCAGGATGATCACTGTACTACACAAGAATCCTCTTTCAAAGTCATTTTTCTAAAGTGGAGCCAAAGATTTGAAGGGAGTGCGCAATCTTCACCTGAACGTAACAGAAGCTATGGCAATTCAACGGTACAAGCCTAGTCTTTGCATTCACAAGAGATACATTCAATATTCATTTCTTCATTCAGTGTTTGTTTATTTATGATAATCCTGTACGCCATCTTTGGTGACCTTGAGTTGACCTTAATCGCTGTTATCAGATTGTGACCTTATTCACCATTCTTGAGGACTATAAAGTGACCCATTAGCTATTGATGGACACGTATATTTTATTGTAACTATGATTACGGTTGTATAGCTTTTGAAAATATTTCGTTAGAAAAATTTTCTTCATTGAATTGACAAGTATAGAGAATTTTTAACTACACCTTATTAGTTCATAACAATTTTGTGATAAAGAAAATGCATAATTTCGGTTGAATATTTTCTTGCTAAATATAAATGACATGATGACTAGTTTTCAGTGGTCCCCTGTCTAACGTTAGGGAGTCCGGTGGTAGAGTGGATCAACTCTCAGAAAGCAGACCAGATCTGACCGACAAGATCTCTATACGGATATAAGAGACTTGATTGACTTTTACCAATTCATGATATCTATGGCAATACCATGATATCCAATTGTCTATTAAGGATCGAGTTTACTGTTCTGTGATTCGCTCTTTTCTACTATATGGATGTTTAAAATAGCTAACAAGGGTATAGGTTATGAGAATCCTTTAGGCATTGGACTACCATTGCCTTTGCAACACAGGTCCCGTGTCATGGTACCAGCATGTCAGCAGAATAGATGTCAGGTGTATATTCCTAGGCAGAAGAGGAAAATCATTCGATCAGAACCAGAACTTTCATTGTTTCAAATAACTGGAACTTATGTTATGCATGCCTACTCATCATCTACTTCGTTGTGCAATGTTAGCTGAATTATGTTTCAAGTGGAAAAAGGTACAAGGCGATAAAAATAAAAGATGTCATGAGTCCTTGAAGTGCTTGACTGTTGGTTTGAACTATGTGGGGAACTATAGGCTATCTGGTTGGGATTTGCTTATTAACTGAAACTAATGGGTGGAGACTTCAGATAACTTGGCTCCGAATCGATCTGAGTGCACAATATCCTCATCTTAATCATGATACTGAATTCAATACTTGATTATTCCTCCTTGTTATCTGACTGCAACTTGTTACTACTTCGATTGATCTCCTCTTCAGTTCTTTGCCATTCATCTTAGTGCTTTCTCTCTCGATATGTTAATAGGCGGTTCGGCGACTTGGACTGTTATGCGAAATGCCTAAGCTAAGTTTATCCGCCTATCTTTCTATCATGAGGCAAGAAAACTACATCCTCAGGAAAAACGTTAATGTGTCTCAGTTAATATATAGACAGATCACCTTTGGACATTTTCTGAATCTTTTGTTTGTTCCTCACAAGTTCCCGTTGCTATACAGGACTGAATTACTCGACCTCCTATGTGGGTGCCTCGATACTTCCGAATATTCACTACACTGTATTCATCCTTGTGGTAAGCAGTGCAATTCACGATGAGCGTTTTGTCCTATCTAAGATTCGTCAGCTGGATGAACGTGCACCCCAGTGAGTGGTGTTTTTCCCGCTGGGAACTAAACCCAGTACCTACATAACAACGGGAAATTAGAAGTGTGAAATAATAACTGATACCTGCGTTTGGAGTTGGGTTCGAGTCTCAGGGGAAATAAAATCACTCACTGAGATTCAGATACCTTTAGCCAATGAGTCCTAAATAGGATGAAACACACATCCTGAATTTGACTGTTAGTCAACTTCTATTCATTCACAATGCAACACTTTTTAAGTGTAACAGACATACTACTAACATTAAAGCAAGTAGCGTAAAAAATAGTTACCAAAATAGATACAAACCTTGATTGTGCAAGTTTTTCTTCCAACACAGTTATGCTATCTTGAAGACCTGATATTTCATCTAGTAGGCCAACTTGTGGAGCATCTTTAATATTTTCATTACCAGATCTATCTTGACGTTTTTCTAGTCTAGTTTCAGCTAATTTCAAACTTGCTCTCTTATCGCGAATAGTAACCTCTAAATTGTATATACCCTTCAATGTTCATCCCTCTCCTTTTCAGTCTGTAAAATATTTAAAGAAAAGTTCATAGAAATTAAGTAAATAAATTCATCAATCTAAAACTGACTAGTATTTTTGCCCGTGATAACTTTTTTTTATTCCTCATAGCTTGAGTTCTTTTTGAGACACAGGATAAGACATCAGTCAAGGTGGATAAGTTATCTTTAATGCTCCTTTATGATGAAGTAAAGTAGGCACATTTTTACATATTTATCACTGAAATAAAACTAACACGTTAAGATAAATCATCTCAGAGTTGAAATAGTTCACTTGACAAACTATAAAAGTCTAACAAATGATAACACAACACCAAGAATAAGTAAATGAAAGTTATGCAAAATTTCCCATTTAGACATTTAGTGAAAACAAACAATGTCAGCAAAGAAATATTTCCTTTCAATTAGTTCCTCATCAATGGCTCTACACTAATATATATGTAGCATTTTCAAAACGTAAAATTACATATCAATCTAGTGATGAGAGTTATTCAATGAAAGGTTATCAATCTCAAAGTATCAAGAAGGTGATAATTGATCAGGTAATTAAGACAGTTAACTAAAGCAAAGATTAATTATCGTAGAAAGATTTTGTGAAGTTTTAAACAGGTTCTTATAAGCTACAAGTGGCTATCGTGGCTCACTGGTGTAGTGGATAATGCTCTGGCGTTTGAAGCGATCGCTACCGACTCCCATTTCCGGTGGGAACAACATCAACCACATCCAGTTAACGAGTCCCAAATAGGGCGAAATGCTCATTCTAGATTACACTGCTAGCCACTATCCATCATTACTATACATAGGTTCTTACATAATTGATATTTTGTATAATGGTAACTAAAGTGTGAAAATGAACTGTTACGTAAAATAGTAAATTGTTGACGGTAACTAGAGACAGTAGGGGGAGAAGAAGATGGCTTAATCTGTAATAATAATAATAATAATAATAATCACAGAGCTATTAAAATATTAGTTATAGTCAATTGTGTCAAACTCGCCGTATCATGCAATATCGAAATGGCTAGTGCAACTCTTGAAACCACTGCATAAGGAGGTTGTAAAGCATAGCATCAAAGATACTTTTCACTTTGTTGATAAGACAAGAGATTTAAATGTGAATAATAAGTCTATGATATCCTTAGACGTATCATCCCTATTCACAAATGTCCCTCTAATGGAAACAGTGAACTTCATATATAGCGAACTGGAAAAGAGAAGTATAGAAATTGGAATTATCGCATCCACCTTGAAATAACTTCTCTTACGATGTACAATGAATGTACACTTTCTTTTCAATAAGGAATTCTATAGACAGTCAGACGGTGTCGCTATGGGAGTCACTACTAGGCCCAATCTTAGCGGATTTCTTCTTAGCAAAATTAGAAATTGGCCCTCTGGAAAGTATCGTAAGCGGGTTAGAATTTTACTGCCGTTATGTATATGATACATTCTTTATTGTGAATAACGATGACGATGCAACGATCATACTGGATGAATTCAGTAGCGTCCATCCAGCGATAATGTGCACCATTGAGATAGAAAGTGACGACAGCATCACCTTCTTAGATGTCCGATTGACAAGGAAGGTGGATGGAACTCAACAGGTCAATACACCCACTTCTTGAGTTTCGTCCCCTTGCAATATAAACGAAATCTAGTTAAATGTTTGGTACGTCGGGCTAGACTCATCTATTCAGATGATACTTTTAACGAAGAGCTTCAAATTATCCATGATCTACTCAGTAGTAATGTATATCCAGAAACGTTTCTGGCTAAAAATATGGACACATTCAATATGAAAACCAAAATGCCTACAGTCTCCAAGAAACTATTGTTCCCAAGACTACAATTTCCAGGTGACATCATCAGCGAAATTGTGACACAACGCTTAAGCAATGCCGCAAGAAGATCATTTAATGCCGCCAAGTTATATTGTGTTTTCTACAGCCGACCGATGATGACCACACGAACTAAAGACAGACTCCTTGACTTCTCCTCTTCTATGTGCATTTACCAGTTTAACTGCTCCTGTGGAGCTAGTTACATTGGACGTACAGTTAGGCAAGTCCGTCGTCGAATCGCCGAGCATCATACTTCATGGCTAAGTAAAGGGCAAACCAGATCGATACGAAGCTCAATACTCTCTCATCTGATTGACACCGGCCACCGAGTTAACATTCATAATGCCTTTAAAGCTATTTACCACATTCCTTCTGAACTCACCATTGCTCTGCGAGTTCGTCTTATACATACAGCAGAAGCCATAGGAATCCACCTAAACAAGCCAAATCTGTTTGTTCAGAAGAGATTCGTACAGTCTTTTTGTTTGTCTTGGCCATCTGTAAAGCTCATTTATTACAAGGCTCTTCATTTGATTCACCACATAATTGACTATAATATTTTAATAGCTCTATTATTTATGTTCAGTAAAGATGGGCAGTGGCTAGCAGTGGAATCCAGGATGAGCATTTCGTCCTATGCCAACAGAGGCTGATCAATTCGGTCCTATCAACGACGGTGTAATACAAGCAATAACACTGAAAGCTCTATTATCATTATTATTATTATTACAGATTAAGCCATCTTTTTCTCCCTCTACTGTCTCTAGTTACTGTCAGCAATCTACCACTTTACGTAACAGCTCATTTTCGCACTTTAGTTACCACGATACAAATTATCGATTATGTAAGAATAGATCATATGTAAGAACCTGCTTAAAATTCTACAAAATCTTTCTATTATAATTAATCTATGCTTTAGTTAACTGTCTTAATTACCTGATCAATTATCACCTTCTTAATACTTTGAGATTGATAACCCTTCATTGAACAACTCTCATAATTAGATTGGTATGTAATTTTACGTTTGAAAATGCTACATATATATGAGTGTAGAGCCATTGATGAGGAACTAATTGAAAAGAAATATTTCTTTGCTCACATTGTTTGTTTTCACTAAATGAAAGTTGACAATAATTCTATGAAAACTATCCATTATATTAGAATAGGAGTGAAATAGACTTATCCTCTATCGAATTAACAACAAACATTCTCATATATTCTTGATTACAAAAGAGATTTTTTTTTTACAGCTATTCATACAATTCCTTTTCTTGTAGAAGAGCACTGAAAATAACATTCAAAATGATAAGAAAACTTTTGTTATGAGCAAAGAAGGTTACTTAGACATTCATAGTTCAAGGTGTATTTACTTACTATCGCGTTAAAGTTTCTTTCTGTCTATCTCTCTTTCTCTAGAACTATATAGTATACCATGGTGTTTCTAACACATCGAATGAACAGTCTATCCTAAGCTTCTAGACAAATACAGGATATCAGTCTCAGAAATCACTGCATGCTGATCATAGTCATTTCTGAAACAATAGCAGACTTTAATTTAAAGTCTGTTACACTTCATGAGGATGTTCTTCTTCAAATTCTAAATATACGATGTCATAGAAAGAAACTGACTAAATTTTAGATGAAGTTAAAATTTTGACAATTATATCATAACTGAACTTTTTTTTCGCTAGGAGATTTCATATCCATCAGTGACTGCTTTGCTTTATCGAATTTTCAGTTTCATCATTTTCTAAAATTTGACAACTACATTTAATTTAGTGAAAACCGATGTCAATAGGTATGAAAAGAATCCAGTGAACCTTTTAATTTTTCTCTATTCCCTTTCCTTATTTTAAATTTATCTGTCCTTTGAGTTCCTACCGAAACATCGGGATTCAGTAATCGGTCGTCATTTCACTTCCTTCTCTCCAATCTTTTCAACCTCGCCACACAACTACCCACAAGCTCTCATTTCTTACTCACACTCACCTGAAACACCCATCTCGTCGTTTCCCATTCTGCTTCCACTCGACAGCCTGGCCCAGACTGACCTGATGCGTGATGTCCCTAAACCTTATTCTCAGTCTATGTCCAATCCATCTCCTCTCTCTTCCTCTGCATATTTGTTGGACGATACGTTCTCGGCTGGATGGTTCGTTGTCAGCCAGCCAGCCAGCCAGCCACTCAGTCAGTCAGTCAGAGTTCCTCCTTCCCTATTCTTATTATTCTGGCCATCTATCCGATCTTCAGTGTCAGTATCGAGTGGGTGTAGGTGGTAGTTGTTGACAACGTATGTCTGCAGTTTGTTGAGAATGCTTTTTGTAACGCTCCGCCAAGTCTCTGAATCATCACATAGAAGGGCTGACTTGACTGACATTAGTAGTGTTGAAAATCCTGATGTTGTTCACGTTTTATGCTGAGTGCAGTGCAGTGTAGTAAATCTGAACACCGATTGATTGATTGATTGATTGATGAATCCTGTCTTACTGTCTTTCCAATCGTGGCTTTGATGTTGTCATCTGTTCCTGTGCCGCCTGTGGTTGAAAAGATACTGCCTGCCTGGGTAGATAGGTGAAAGAGACAACCTCCTTCAGATTTCTACCCTTGATGGTGATTGGTGCCTGTTGTTGGTTGTGTATCTTCATCACCTACGTCTTCTCTACCTACACCTGAAGGAATTCTTGTCTTCGTTGCCCTACCTGTTCTTCCAACTTGTTATTTTTCACCTGTAGATCTCCGAGTTTGTGCAACAAGACATCAGACATAAATCATCATCATCGTTGAAATCCAAATCTTCTTCTGAGGTCTTTCTATCGTTCCAGCCAGAGTATGTCCATCTTCTTGCTCTTCACAGTTTGTTGCATGATCCAGTTCAGTCGAGTCAACCACAATGATGAAGATCATCATTGATGGATAGTAGGCAACCTTGTCTTATCCCTGTCCCCTGTCTTCACTTCAAAAGCATCACTACTGATAACCAATTCTTTGTACTTCCGTGAACAGTATAACTCCTTACGCTGTCTGTCCTAATACCAAACTATTCATCTTCCCATCTGTCTGTTCATCAATTTGACTGTCTGTCTCGTGACCTTGCATGACCTTGCAGTTTAGAATTCAAAAGAAATAAAGTTTTTCTCGAAAAATAAAAATTAAAATTATCAAGTATCGAAGACAATTTTTAAGAAATTAAAACTTACAGACTTTAGTTGATATTCTATTTCACGTAATGCTCTCAATGTATCATAACTACGCATTCGCAGTACACCATTCACTTGATCAGTTTTATTTGTTATTCGATTTATTGTTATATGTAAACTATTATGTAATCTGTGAAGCAGATCATCGGCTTTATTCATGATTATTTTAGCCTTTTCTAATGTTTCCCGACTTATATTCTCCCATGTTTGTAAATCAAGTAATCTAGATAGACAATATGAAAAAGTGTTCATCAATATTGAAAAACAATAAGCTAACTAAAAAATCTTTTTTTTAGATAAGATATTAATGTGACAAGATGAATAGGATAAAATGATTTGATCCGTTAAGGATAACCAATAAAAAGTTAAACTTAGTGTATGCAGACAATAGAATGATATTTAAAAGGAAATTAAACCTTTCATAAATGATAAGATATTGAATAGCTGACTACTTATTTCATCAGTGTAGCACCGTTTAACAGTGTAAGTTGTTAGATATCATATCAACTTGACAAGATACAAGTCAATAAGATAAAATGTTAAGAAATAGTATGATAAACAGATGAACAAGTATACTACAGCTTTGTATTAGTTAGTTAGGCTAATGGTTATATTGTAACCTTGATCAGTATACATTGGTTAGAAGTAGACACTGTGAACTAGACATCTACGTTTGTTATATATAAAATCCAGTCTTTCAACGTATTTATTGTGGTCTTAATAGATTAGTGCAGCGAAGACGGCATTTCAGGTGAATATAGAGAAGACAGAAGTGATGAAGATACCGCACTAACAATTCCAACAACAACAACAAACTCCAATCACCATCAACGGGAGGAACTTAAAGGAAGTAACCTCTTTCACCTATCTAGGAAGCACTGTTTCAACTACAGGCGGCACTGACGAGGATGTCAAAGCCAGCCAGGATCGGAAACACAGCAAGACAGGCGTTCATTAGCCTGAAACCAGTGTGGAGATCTTCTGCACTCAGCATGTGGAACAAGATACGGATTTTCAACACCAACGTGAAGTCAGTGCTTCTGTATGGTTCAGAGACTTGGTGCGTTACGAAAGGCATTTCCAATAAACTACAGATATTCATCAACAACTGCCACCTACGCTAACTCGTTACTGAAGATCAGATGGCCAGAATAATAAGAATAAGCAACAAGGAGCTCTATGAACGAACCAACCAAGAAGCTATCACTGAACAAATATGCAGTGGAAGGAATTGGAGATGGGTTGGGCATACACTGAGAAGGCCGACTGGGGATATCATGCGTCAGGCCAGTTGCTCGAGTGGAATCCCCATGGGAAGCGACGAGTTTGGCGTCCGAGGTGAGGGTGATATGGAGGAGATGGTGTGAGGAGGAAATGAGAGCTTGTGGGCTGTTGTGGAACCAGGTTCAAAAGACTTCAGAGGTGACAGTATACTGGAGACGTGCTACTGAAGCTCTATGTTCCATTAGGAACCCAAGGGACCAATAATAAATAATAATAAATAGATTAGTACTACTATTATTACTATATATTTTTCCCTTATGTTCCTAGCGGAACATAGAGATTCAGTAGCACACCTCCATTCCACTCTCTTCTACGCAGTCTTTTCAACCTCCCTTCACCCCATTGCCCACAACCTCTCATCTCTTACTCACATCATCTCCTCCATATCACCCTCACCTCAGACGCCAAACTCATCGCTTCCCATTCTGTTGCCACTCGACCAACTGGCCTCACCTGACGCATGGCGGCTCCAATCGGCCAACTCACTGATTGACCAATCAATTCATCTCCACTTTCTTACACTGCGTGTTTATTGCGTGTTACCTTCTTGATTGATTTGTTGTCAGCCAGCCAGAGTTGTTTGTTGCTTATTGTTATATTCTGGTCATCTATCCGATCTTCAGTGTGTGTATCGAGTGAGTGTAGGTGGCAGCTGTTGATGATGTATGTCTGTAGTTTGGTGGAAATGCTTAGTGTAACACACCGCCATGTTTCTCGACCACCACATAGAAGCACTGACTTGACTGAGTTAAGTTTTGAAAATCCGGATGTTGTTCACGCTTTGTGCTGAGTTCAGTAGATCTCCACACTGATTTCAGATTGATGAAAGCCAGTCTTCGTATCTTTCCGATCCTGTCTTTGACATCCTCGTCTGTGAAACTGCCTCCTGTAGTTGGTAGTGTTTGTTGGGTATCTTGTTCACCTTCGTCTTCTCTACATTCACTTGAAGTCCAGTTTTCACTGCCTCTAAATTAGTAGTAAAGTCTCGTAAATTAACATTTAATTAATAAGAGATGAATAGGGACTGTAGGACGTGCGTTTCGTCATATTTGTGACTAGTCAGTTGAATGTAACCTCACTCCATTGTGGAGTGATGATATAGTTCCCACTGCCACTCAAACCTCGTAACCGTCACTTCAAACGCCAGACAGTTATCCATTAGGCCACTTCAGTACAACAGCCACCTCTTGTACAATAGTTATTAGTTATAACTATTTGTTGATGTACCTATAATTCTTCGTTGTTTTCTTGAATAGAATTGTTCAACCTGACCTTAAATTTAACTAGAGTAACAAATCATCATGAAAATTACTTTCATCACATCTATATTTAGACTGTTCTTTCATTGAATTAAAAAGATATAAGTGATTAATTCACCTGCTATTTATACATTGAATGTTGAACAACCTAACATAGAACAGGTATTTCCAAGAAGATGATTAATTCACTATAAGCACACTTAGTTGATATCCAACACAAACTTTATAAAAACGCATAATTACTGAGTGATGATTAAAGGTGAAATGGTAATGTTGACCCCCGTCGAGTTCGAACCAGCAACCACCAGGTTTAAAACCTGATACTCTACCAATTCAGCTACGAAGTCCGACTGTTAATCAGATTCTTAATTCATTTCATCAATCATCAAGGATTTTACCCGACTGCCATGTCAATTCATGATGGATTAGTATCACGTGATCGTATTGACACTGGTTGACTAGTCAGGACTTCCATTTTTATTGATTGATTAGATTTATCACACAGTGAAGGAACAGTATTGTTTACTCGATTACCTAACGGAAACAATTTATTGTCCATTGTCATATCAAGATAACCAAACAATTTTCATACATCCTTTGCATAGTCTTAACTTCCTCGCCCCCCTTCGTGATAACATGAGTAGTAAGATTTTCTAAATATCCGCATTGATTCGATAAACAACTATTCCAAGTTGTTATTCATCGTAGATTGACATCAGTTGGAGGAACAAAGGAAACCTGGGAGCACTGGACAGCTGTTTCTTCCGACTAGTATAGGACTCCTTAGCAGTGGGCACCCACGACCCCACCCCTCCTTGGGTCGAACCCGCGACCTTCAGGTTCCGCGTCCAGCGCGTTACCATTGAGCCACTGGGTCAGAATCCAATGCTCCATATTTCCAACTTCTGTTAGCTCACGATATAGCTCAAACCGCCACCCAATGTCATCGTTGAGTATTTGTCCTCACGGCCATCAGGCTTTGACTCCACCGGTCACAACTTGTCATTGGAACTTCGGGAATACTTCTCGAAGCTAGTCACCAATCAGCACCAGTTCAATTAAATTTTTTTTTTGAGGGGGTTGTGGAGATTTGGAAATATTTCAAGTTGTTATTCATCGAAGACTGACATCAGTTGGAGGAACAAAGGAAACCTGGGAGCACTGGACAGCTGTTTCGTCCTAGTATGGGAGCATCGGATTCTGACCCAGTGGCTCAATGGTAACGCGCTGGTCGCGGAACCTGAAGGTCGCGGGTTCGATCCCTGTTGGTGGGGTCGTGGGTGCGCACTGCCGAGGAGTCCCATACTAGGACGAAACAGCTGTCCAGTGCTCCCAGGTTTCCTTTGTTCCTCCAACTGATGTCAGTCTTTGATGAATAACAACTTGAAATATTTCCAAATCTCCACAACCCACTCAAAAAAAAAACAACTTTTCAGTTATCAATCTCTCCCTCCACCCTGCTATGTTAGTTTTAAGGATTTTCACCCTATCCCAACCAGACTATTGTGTGGTTGTGTGTCATTGGATGCATAGCTATGGCTGAGCTTTTTTCTAAATTCCTTACTTTACTAGAATCTACCAATTTTGACCTAGCTAAGATTTTGTGTTCCGATAGCCTAATTGATCCTGGTCGACTACTTTGACCTATGTATTTGACCTTGCAATCGTTTCAAGGGATCTGGTAAACTAAGTTATCCTGCTTAATTGGGTCAATAGGATCTTTTAACCTACAAAGCTTATTTCGAAGTGAGTTTGTAGGTTTAAATGCCATTCTAATCCCTGCCAACCTGACTGAGAATCCTACGTAGTGTTTCTGAGGTGCCTTTCTTTGCATGATAATACTGTGGAGGTTTTTGAATTCTGTATTCACAGTATTGTAAGATAGGTAAATAGCGTCATTGTATGTTACATTATTGCAATAATCAGCTAATCAAATTTACAACCCTACACATATGTTCATCAATTCAATTTGCTACAATTCATGGTAGTATATAAAGAACAAGTGGATCAACTAAGACTGATATTAAAGTGGACAATGTTATACGGGTGAAATAGGAAAATTATAAAATTAACATCAATCACAATGAGTGATTTTAATAGGCATCCTAATAACGATCAGAATAACCAATTAGATTACTTTATTATAAGAGTAAAACTTGGGCACTGTGATCGATTATAATTCCATTTTCTAGCAACTGGTCCCTTTGATAAATTTAAACAGCGTAATGAGAAGACGAAGATTATCTGAAACACGTGATGTATTAGCGCTATACATTTCGAACAATCAGATCACACATGGACTTGTCGAACTATTTATATGAAAATTTACGAAAAGGTCAATGAAGTTAGTGGGAAACATAGGAAAAGGAAAACCTTATTCTTGGTATGAAAATTAAAATCAATACTACCAAGGTAGGTTCAACGTGAGTACAAATTGTTTTTGTATACATAAAGGGGGTTTAAATTTACGGATGGCAAGAGCTTCAATAAATTTAAGCACTCAGCTCTGACCACTTTTACGTAGTACTTTAAAGGCTGTTTTCATGTCTATCCTATGGTTAGTTTCTAGTAAATGTTTAGCGATAGACGAAGATGGATGTTTGTCACCTGCACTTATCGGATCTGCTGAGGTTATTTGTTTTTGTAGCCACTTAGGTACATGTTCAACCTTACTTAACTGCATATCACGATTACTCCTCCCTATATATGTGGCAATATATATATATAGGGCAATATCTTAATTTCCATAGCTATTGTCCAGTCCAATACAAACGTGGTTTAGTCAGATGCTTATTCAACAGGATAAACCGTATCTGCACCGATGACACCAGGGGGGAAGAAGCCAACTTACTGACGACAACTCTGATACAGAATGGATACCCGTTGAGATTTATCGACCGGTGCAAAAGTTATGTACCATTGAAAAGTATACAGTGTTCCGTTGCTAAGAAAAATGTCTACATCTCATTACCATTTAGAGGTGATTCACATAGCTTTGTTGTGAGGAAAAGACTTAGATCGGCCATCTGTAAAACGTATTATGCAGCTAAGGTCATCATTGTAGAGAAGACCTAGTCCATGTTACAGCACAAACCGAAACAACATATAAACGATTACATCACATCTCACTGTGTTTTTCAATTTACATGTATGTGTGGACACTCATATATAGGGAGGAGTAATCGTGATATGCAGTTAAGTAAGGTTGAACATGTACCTAAGTGGCTACAAAAACAAATAACCTCAGCAGATCCGATAAGTGCAGGTGACAAACATCCATCTTCGTCTATCGCTAAACATTTACTAGAAACTAACCATAGGATAGACATGAAAACAGCCTTTAAAGTACTACGTAAAAGTGGTCAGAGCTGAGTGCTTAAATTTATTGAAGCTCTTGCCATCCGTAAATTTAAACCCCCTTTATGTATACAAAAACAATTTGTACTCACGTTGAACCTACCTTGGTAGTATTGATTTTAATTTTCATACCAAGAATAAGGTTTTTCTTTTCCTTTTCTATCCCTTCCTATTCCTATGTTTCCCATTAACTTCATTGACCTTTTCGTAAATTTTCATATAAATAGTTCGACAAGTCCATGTGTGATCAGATAGTTCGAAATGTATAGCGCTAATACATCACATGTTTCAGATAATCTTCGTCTTCTCATTACGCTGTTTAAATTCCATTTTAGTCTGTTTATTAGAAATGTCATACACAGTGAAGGAGGATAACAACGTTTCGGATACAGTTGATTGTCCATATTCATATTAGATCAGGTGACTCCACAACTTCTAGACAGATTTTATCTAGTCTTAATTCCCTCTCCTTCTCTGTGATGACAAGGATAGTAGAATTTTCCACATATGTGGGACAGGTGCAGAATCATCTCGATTACTGCATGTATTTGGTGTTGATTCGATAAACAAAGATTCGGTTAGACAAAACAATAAGAAGACGTAAATTGTCTGAACCGTGTAAAGTAAGCGCCTCGAAACATATCCCAAAGTGGCTTCAGAAGCAAATTAAATCACCTAAACCCATAAATGTTGGTGTTGTAGCAGACGTCCAAGTTCTTCGATCACCAAACATATCATTGAGACAGCTCGTAGGATTGATATGGCTACTTCCTGTAGATCTATTTACAAAATATGTTGAGGAGGGATCCTTAAATTTGTTGAAGCCTTAGCTATTAGAAAGTTGGAACCATCTTTATATGTTCATAAACACTTTGTGTTATTACATCAAATCTCCCCCTTGGTGAATTCAACTATTGAAAACCAAATTCGATGTACTATTATTATTCGCCCTATTGATTTTTATTGTTTCATTAATATAAGTGTAAAACCTGGGCACTGTGGTCGAGTGTAATTCCATTTTAGTCTGTTTATTAGAAATATCACACAGTGAAACAGTAGTATTTACTGGATAGCCACGTTTCAGACATAATTTATTACAACTTTGTTGTAACATCTATAAATGCTTATCTTTCTCTATCCATCCAGTTACGTCACAAGTGAAAAAAATGTGCAGTTTCATGCACTTCACATTGTAAAACATATGACAATGCAGACGAATATTGATGCTAATCTTATCGATTGTGTTTCCTTGTAGTTGATAATACTGAATAAGTCGATCATTATTGATATATAAACTCTTGCGTGAAGCCGTCAATCCTGCCAGTAATTTGAGTCGGATAATAATGATGCATAGTAAATAGTATAGGAATTCAGCACATATGTTTCGTCCTATTTCAGCCTCGTCAGTTGGATGCATCGACAATATTTTCCTCTGTTACTTCAGTTGTCAAAAGGATATATGTAAGCAAGACAGGCTTTCATTAATCTGAAATCAGTCAGGAAATCTACTAGGCTCAACACTCATCCAGTCAAGTCAATGCTGATATATGGTTCAGAAACTTGGCGGTGTGTTACACTAAGCATTTCCACCAATCTACAGACATACATCATCAACAGCTGCCACCTACACTCACTCGATACACACACTGAAGATCGGATAGATGACAAGAATAATAACAATAAGCAACAAACAACTCTGGCCGGCTGACAACAAATCAATCAAGAAGGTAACACGGAATAAATATGCAGTGTAAGAAAGTGGAGATGAATTGGATTGGTCAATCAGTGAGTTGGCTGATTGGGGCCGCCACGCGTCAGGTGAGGCCAGTTGGTCGAGTGGAAGCAGAATGGGAAACGATGAGTTTGGCGTTTGAGGTAAGGATGATATGGAGGAGATGATGTGAGTAAGAGATGAGAGGTTGTGGGCAATGGGGTGAAGGGAGGTTGAAAAGACTGCGTAGAAGAGAGTGGAATGGAGGTGTGCTACTGAATCTCTATGTTCCACTAGGAACCCGAGGGAAAAAAATAATAATAACAGTAATAGTTTAATGTTATAATCTGTGAGATCATGCATTTTTGGCACATAGATTTCTTTTTGTGGATGCCTTAAAATCTCTCACTAAGGGAGAGGTATATTTAAGTGAGGAAACCTAAACAAGGCAAAATCTATATAATGGATTTCACAACTTACCACTATATATTATTACTAGAAAGAATAAATGCATATAACGAAGAGAAAAACTCTGGATCCATACTCAAACACGTACACACACATACACATATTCATGTTAAATGTACTGATAATTTTTAACCCTAAATACTCACTGTTGTGATGAATGATCATAGAATGGTTTAAAGGTAACACTAGATGACTTTTCATTCATATTATATACATCAATATCAATGTCTATAGCTTCATTTTTATTGGTTATATCTGGATAAAATAGTTGTGATACATCATTCAACTCAATAAGTATATGAAATGCTTCATTAATTTGTAATTGAAGATCATTATATAAATCATCTTTCAATAGATTACGTTCCTTGAATAAAAAGTGAACAAAAGAGAAAAAGGATAATAAACATACATATTATTAAAAGTTTAATTATAAAATTCTAATGAATTCAAAGATAATTCTCACTGAATAACTAAGATTAGTTAATTTACTAATGAAAAATGAAATTCATTCTAATGCTTAGTTTGTCTAATATTGATAATATAAACATTTCTGTTGTGGGAAAGCAGCAGGACCAGATGGAATACCGCCAGAAGCACTGAGAACAGATGCAGAGACGACAGCAGACATGCTCACACCACTATTGCAGAAGGTGTGGAAGGAAGAGAAGGTACCTCGCTAGTGATTGGAAGAAGGGTTACCTTGTCAAACTGCCGAAGAAGGGAGACCTCAGTGCTTGCAAGAACTGGCGCGGAATCACTCTCCTGTCCACCGCAAGTAAAATATTAAGCCGCATCATCCTGGAGAGGCTTAAGGGTGCACTGGATTCAAAACCATGCCCGGAACAGGCAGGCTTCAGGAAGTACAAATCATGTGCTGACCAAATTGCAACGCTTCGCATCATCATAGAACAGAGCATAGAATGGCAATCAGCTCTCTACCTCAACTTCATCGACTTTGAGAAGGTCTTTGACAGCGTCGACCGAGAAGTAATTTAGAAACTGCTTCAATACTACGGAATACCACAAACCTTTATCCGCCTCATTAAACAACTATATGAAGATGTCACATGCCAAGTAATCCACAATGGGAAGCTCAGTGATGCTTTTGCACTGGAAGTGAAGACAGGAGTGAAACAAGGTTGCCTACTATCCCCCATGATATTCCTGATTGTGGTGGACTGGATCATGCAGCAAACAGTAGGCAGCGAGAAGAGGGGGATACACTGGACGACGGAAAATAACCTAGAAGACTTGGATTTCGCCGCCGATGACTTGTGCCTAATGTCACATAAACTTGAAGATCTGCAGGCAAAAACTAACAAGTTGATAGAAGAGGTAGTGGAGACGGGACTTCAGGTGAATATAGAGAAGACAGAAGTGATGAAGATACCGCACCACTACCATCAACAACAACAACAACAACAAACTCCAATCACCGTCAACGGGAGAAACTTGAAAGAAGTAACCTCCTTCACTTATCTAGGAAGCACTGTTTCAACTACAGGCGGAACGGACGAGGACGTCAAAGTCAGAATCGGAAAAGCAAGACAGGCGTTCATTAGCCTGAAACCAGTGTGGAGATCTTCTGCACTCAGCATGCGGAACAAGATACGGATTTTCAACACCAACGTCAAGTCAGTGCTCTTGTATGGCTCAGAAACTTGGCGCGTCACAAAAGGCATTTCCAATAAACCACAGACATTCATCAACAACTGCTTACGCTGGCTCGCTACTGAAGATCAGATGGCCAGAAAGAATAAGCAACAAGGAGCTCTGGCTGGTGAAGAACCAAACAAGAACCTATCACCCAACAAATATGCAGGAGGAAGTGGAGATGGATTGGCCATGCACTGAGGAGGCCGACTGAGGACATCACGCGTAAGGCCCTCGAGTGGAATCCCCATGGGAAGCGACGAGTTGGACGTCCGAGGGTGACATGGAGGAGGTCATGCGAGGAGGAAATGAGAGCTTCTGGGCTGTCGTGGAGCCAGGTTTAAAAGATCTCAGAGAACAGAGGTCGCTGGAGGCGTGCTACTGAAGCCCTATGTTCCACTAGGAACCCAAGGGACTAATAATAATAATAATAATAAACATTTCTGTAAGATGAAAATGTATATATTATAGAAAACACTAACCTAGTCAGTGTTTTTATGCTTCTGTGTGTTACGAAAGAGATTTCTAACAAACTAGAGATATTCATCAACAACTGCCACCTACGCTGGCTTGTTACTAAAGATCAGATGGCCAGAATAATAAGAATAAGCAACAAAGAACTCTGGCCGGCTGACAACGAATCAACCAAGAAGCTATCGCTGAACAAATATGCAGTGAAAGGAATTGGAGATGGATTGAGCATACAATGAGAAGACCATTCGGGTATATCATGCGCTAGGTCAATTGCTCGAGTGAAATCTCCATGGGAAGCGACGAGTTTGGCTTCCCAGTTGAGGGTGACATAGAAGAGATCGTGCGAGGAGGAAATGAGAACTTGTGGGCTGTTGTGGAACCAGGTTCAAAGTTTACAGAGAAGAGAGTGAAATGGACACGTGCTACTGAATCCTTGTGTTCCATTAGAAACACAAGAGACAAATAATAATACTAATTAGAAAATACTTCTGAAACTTTCATATTTCTTCAATTTTCTGTCAAAATGTACAACTATTACCATTTATTGATATATACTTGTAATTCTCTGTTGTTTGTTAGGTTGGATCAAATTGTTCGACCTCTATTTGGCATATATATTGGCTGGTATCCGGATGCCTTGATATTACTTGGACGTTAATGATGACAAGTTGGTTGGTTTCAGCTAACAGAGTAATCCAACATACACATTTCATCCTGTTCGAGGTTAAACAATTTGATCCAATGAAACAATGGAGAATTAAAAGTGTTATCAATAAACAGTAACTATCATCCCTTTATGAAATAATGGATAACACTTTGGTATTTGAAGCAATAGGTACTGGCTTCGACATCACTCTGCACTGAGGTATAAGTACACACAGCTGAAGAGTTCCAAATAGAGTGAGATACACGTCCTAGATTCCCCTGGTAGCCACAACAACTGTTGTCATGATTATTGTCATTATTATTATTGATTATATTCCTGAATTTATTTAATATTAACATGTTGCTACCTACACTCAATAATCAATTTAGATCGATTTCAATTGAAATGAAAAATTTCGACTAGATAGATTATCTGATTGTAACAAAGGGACAACTAAAGAACCACTGAAAAATTTGACGACAATGGATAGTTGTTTCATGCCAGTAGATAACTCCTTACCCATACGCACATATGATGCATTTAAAGAACGAACTCAGAACATTCAGGTCTCCTGACAAGATTGTCCACCAAAACAACAACTGACTTCAAGTTCAATTGTATACATCTTTCTACTTCTTTCATTTCTAAGGGGGATTACTAAGGTGATCAACTCATTGTAGACTACACAAAACTGAGTGAAAGAAAAAAGAATACTAAAACCATAACATGAAGCTAAATAAAGTTGAAATATGATCAGAAGTTGTAAACAAAAGAAAGAAATAATGGTAATATGATTTCATGACTGAAATACATTAATACATCTGTAACACTGTAGTTGATTGATTCATTTCACAATATGATATAAATCAACACTACTACGAAATTCTTATAAGAATTCAAATCATAAAAAAAATTTTTTTTCAATAATGTGGAACAATATTCTCATTAGGTAATGGAACAATCAATAAACGATTATTCATTGAAGAAAACAATCTTTTCAACGAATCTCATTTTTGAACATTTTATAATCGTCATCATTTGAGTGATAGCTTCTTGGTTGATTCGTTGTCAGCCGGCCAGAGTTCTTTGTTGATTATTCTTATTATTCTGGCCATCTCATCTTCAGTATCGAGCCAGTGTAGGTGACAGTTGTTGATGAATATCTGTAGTTTGTTGGAAATACTCTTTGTAACGCTCCGCCAAGTCCCTCAACCATCATATGGAAGCACTGACTTGACTGGCATTAGTGTTGAAAATGCGGATGTTGTTCAGGCTTTATACTGAGTTTGGAAGACCTCCACACTGGTTTCAGGTTAATGAACCCATGTCTTGCTGTCTTTCTGATCCTGGGTTTGACATCCTCGTCTGTGCCGCCACCGCCGCCTGTAGTTGAAACGATGCTGCCTAGGAGGGTGGGTGAAAGATGCTACTTCCTTTAAGTTTCTCTCCTTGATGGTGACTGGAACTTGTTGTTGGTGGTGATGGCATTGGTTGGGTATCTTCATCACCATTGTCTTCTTTAAGTTTACTTGAAGTCCCGTCTTCCTTCGCTGCCACGCCTCTTCTGTCAACTTGTTAGTTTTTGCCTGTAGATCTTCGAGTTTTTACGATATTAGACACAAGTCATTGGCAAAGTCCAAATCTTCTAGGATCTTTTCTCTAGTCCATCGTATCCCGTTCTTCTCGCTCCTCACTGTTTTCTGCATGATCCATATCTGAAATTGATTGAAGTGAAATAAAAATTCGATCAGTAGTCGGACATTGTAGCTATCACTTGGTAGAATACTGATCCGGAAACCTGATGATCACTGATTCAAATCCGACTGTGATTCAAATTTTCATTTTATCTTCAATCATCGTGCAGTATCACTAATACTAATCTGTTAAACTACAGCTGGTATCTCAAATAGTCAAAATGAAAATCTGGAATGGTCAATTTACTCAAAAAAGGAATCTAATTCATTCACTATCCACACGAATTAGAAGAAATTATACAAATGATGCTGTACATGAGGAGCTAGAAATACTTCGAAGAGTGTTAATCTAGAATGTTTATCCTTCAAGATTCATTTGGAGGGACATATAACATAAGCATTGCAAAGAAGAAGGCTATACGGTTCCCAAAAGTATACTGATTATGAATATTGGAATTCAAGAGAGATACAATCACAGAGATGTTGAAGAATCGTTTGTATAAATCACTGAAGAAAACCTTCTTTTTTGCCCAGTTTTGTATTATTTTCCTCAGTCAATAGCTGATTCAAAAGTTTATCTGAAGGATAAACTATCGCTTTCAACTACCTCCACTTATGTTTACCAATAAACCTTCTCTTTAAGAGCTGGTTACATAACCCCTATAAACTGTGTTCTAGTCAAATACATCTTCGAACACTATCCTAAAGGGCAGTGTAAAGACATCAACACCTGGATTCTTCAGCAGTTCGGTAACTTTGGTCACTGTATTCCACAACAGTCTTCTTTCAAGTGAAGGCAAACATTTAGAAGAGAGCTCGTATTTGCCACCTCAAAACACCAGAAGCTCTCGTCATCCACCACTACAACCCTACATTCATTCAATCTCTTATTTTGCC